CTCTTTTCTGGATTAAGTTTCAGTTTATTCGCCCTCATCCAGTCCATTACTGACACCAGACACTTAGAACCAAAACAGCTTCCAAAACAGCCTGCCTAAACATCCATGTTTTCAGTTAATGTTTAAAAATACCAAGTTGTTCTTATGTGCCTTCAAGCCGTCTCCGATTTCTGGCGATTCTATGATGAACGACCTCCAAAATGTTCTGTTCTCAACTGCCCTGCTCAGGTCTTGCAAATTGATGTCTGTGGCTTCTTTTACGGAGTCAGTCCGTCTCCCATTTGGGGGTCCTCTTTTCCTACCGCCTCCCACCTTTCTCAACACTGTTGTCTTTTCCAGAGAATCCTGCCTTCTGGCAATGTGCCCGATATAGGGCAGCTTCAGTGTCATCATTTTTGCCTCCAGAGATAAATCCAGCTTGAATTGAGCTAGGACCCACTGGTTTATATTTCTGGCAGTCTGGGGTATGTGCAAAGCTCTCCTCCACACTATATTTCACCCATGCATGGTGACTGGGAATACAACAGTGTGAATGCTCTTGGTCTCCATAGACATATCCTTGCACTTTATGATCTTTTCTAGTTCCTTCATTGCTGTCCTTCCCACACTCTGAAGGCTAGCAAATATTATTATGGTAAAAAGCTTTTGTAGACTGCAGCTCACTTCCTTAGATGTATTAAATGTTTCTAGAAATAACAAATATGATAAAGTGGACTTATCAAAAAAAAACTCACATTTTAAAAATGTGAGTATTTAAGGTGGCACCACATGTTTGTCTTTTTTACCTTTTATTTCCATTTTGTTTTTACCTATAATGCTTGCTCAGACTAACACAACTACCCCTTCTACAACAGCAAATATAGCAATAGAAATGAAAAGGCAGAAAGTCCAGGCAATAGTCATTGCCTTATTTTCTAGTGTTCATTCAAACAACAGCTTAGAAAAAATTAAACACCCAAACCCCTGTTCAACTGTGAGTTGTCATTACTCTCTGAGAACACCACTCACAGCATGCCCTGAGGAAGAGCTCCAGAAATTTCGGAAGTCTGCACAAACTATTGTGTTTCTTTTGGCTCTCTTGCCTCATTCTTTCAACTCGGGGAGGAGATGTGATCATTATCACCATTTCTGTACTTCTCTTTAGTGGGGTAATTATAGCCTGATAAATAATTACCAAAGCAATAACCATGTTGCTTTGTGCAGTGTACCAGATAGGTTACTGAACTTGGACAGGAGACCTGGGTTCAAATTCTTGCTTGACCATGGAAACTAAGGGTGCAACTAGATGGCTAAAAGGGATGAGGCTAGATGGAGCTAAACAGAGTTGGTTAAGATTGTGTGGAGGTGCAGTATGCCATTTGGGGGATCATTGCATCCACATGGAAGGACTGGGTGGTTTCAGGGCAGGGAAACTACACTGCAAACCTCTTTAGTCCATTCCTCCCTTTAAAGGGAAAGAAAAGGAAAACAAAAAGAAAAAAACACTTTAGGTTGTTGTGGACTTTTTGGGCTCTTTGGCCGTGTTCTGAACGTTGTTCTTCCTGACATTTTGCCAGTCTCTGTGGCCGGCATCTTCAGAGGACAGGAGTAGCACCAGAGCAGAGAGTGCTACTCCTGTCCTCTGAAGATGCCGGCCACAGAGACTGGCAAAATGTCAGGAAGAACAACGTTCAGAACACGGCCAAAGAGCCCAAAAAGTCCACAACAACCTAAAGTGTTTTTTTCTTTTTGTTTTCCTTTTCTTTCCCTTTAAAGGGAGGAATGGACTAAAGAGGTTTGCAGTGTAGTTTCCCTGCCCTGAAACCACCCAGTCCTTCCATGTGGATGCAATGATCCCCCAAATGGCATACTGCACCTCCACATAATCTTAACCAACTCTATTTAGCTCCATCTAGCCTCATCCCTTTTAACCATCTAGTTGCACCCTTAGTTTCCATGGTCAAGCAAGAATTTGAACCCAGGTCTCCTGTCCAAGTTCAGTAACCTATCTGGTACACTGCACAAAGCAACATGGTTATTGCTTTGGTAATTATTTATCAGGCTATAATTACCCCACTAAAGAGAGGTACAGAAATGGTGATAATGATCACATCTCCTCCCTGAGTTGAAAGAATGAGGCAAGAGAGCCAAAAGAAACACAATAGTTTGTGCAGACTTCTGAAATCTCTGGAGCTCTTCCTCAGGGCATGCTGTGAGTGGTGTTCTCAGAGAGTAATGACAACTCACAGTTGAACAGGGGTTTGGGTGTTTAATTTTTTTAACATCCTGATCTATATCTTTCTGTAACTTAAAAAGAAATCTCTTCATATTTTCAGTGATCGAATAAAATAAGTATAGCTGGCAAATCTGTTTGGGAGGATTTCCTGAACGCTGACAATGCAGGCTTCTGAAGGGAAGGAAATAGGAAATAAGAAGGCTGAGGGAAGGAACCTAAGAGAGAGAGTTTCAGTCGTTTAATTTGCAAAAATGCTCATTTGACCCCAGCAAATTGGTTGAAAGATTAAGTTCTGAGACAAATTATATATTTTAGACATGTTTAGATAAAGAGTTTCCCATAGATCTCCATACTCTCTTTTGCATTAGGATTTATGTTGAGGCTCTTTTAAAAAAAACATACTGTTCAGAATTCTAGCTTTTCCTATTTTCCCCATAAAGTCGCAAGCTTCTGGATGGAAAGGAGGAATACCAATGTGATGGTTAAAATGCTACATAACGCTTGCCCGAATCTCTCCTTGGCTGCCTTGTGAGCATAGAATCAATACCATTAGGTACAGCTTTTCTTAAGTCTTCTCTGGCTCTTTGGTATATCTCTGGTCTTCAAAGGAAAGATTTCTACCAAGTATGGATTTGTTTTGACTTTTCAAATATTAGGAAGAAACTTCTCCCGTTACTGCTACCTTTTGTTTTGTAGAGGCACTATTTCAGAATTTAATTTTATTTCTGTTTCAGGATTGCCATACGAGCTGGATTTTTAAAGTGTTTATGATTGCTTCCTTTGACTAGCCCTGCTATTCTACTTCTCTATTCCTTTTTCCTTCAGGCCTCGCCCCCGGCTGGATCGGCAGTTCCTCAGGCGTTTCCTAAAGATCCAAACCATTTTATTTCCTACATGCACTTCCCAGAATGCACTGATGTTCCTAACCCTGCTTGCAGTTACCCTTTTGGGTAAGTGAGGAGGTGGCCAAGAGGGACAATGCCAACCTGTTTCCTTTTGTCATGATCCATGATGCTTCTCTTCTTATACCAGCACACCCACATAGCCCATCCTATTTTTCATGTTTTTCTCTTAGAGCAGCTGGTCATTTATCATGTGGGACTGATTCCCAGTCAGTATTATGGAGTCCTGGGGAACAAAGACCTTTATGGATTCCAGAAAGTGACTATATTTGCACTGATGCTCATTGTGCTGAACTCCATGGTAAGAGAAACCCATTCTGTATCAGTGAGTACTTTAATTTTGGGAGACAAAATCAGAACACATACCATCCCTCTCGTACAAGTCACTTCTGAACATACGCAGATGTTTTGAGGGTCTGATTACAATTTATATTAACTTTGGTTTCAAAGAGTCAGCTTTGTTTTACTACTTCTTGTTTGAAGGGAAAGCAGAACCTCAGTCAGGCACTCTACTCCCAGTCAGGATCAGGGCCCCATCTTTTTGACCAGATGGATTTTCTGCCAACACCCACACTTCCCCAGCTGCTGTTTTCTCCTAAAAATGCTCAGTAGTGTAAACTAGTACTGCAAGCACACTTGGACTGCAATTCCCACCGATCCTAGGCATGTAGGTGGTGGTAATTGCCACACGTTCCCCACTCCAACCATCACCCTGCTAACATGCCTTGGCTTGTATTCTTTCACGCTAATCTATGATTTCATGGCCCATCTCACAGTGTAGTAATAGGCATCCTTCAGTCTCGAGAGACTATGGCAATGTGCTCTGTACGGAGGTCTTGGAACAGCGTTTAGTGTGGCTGAGAAGGCGAATTCGAGAGTGACAATCCCTTCCACACTGAAGACAAATACAATCTGTCCCCTGTCCAGCTCCCTGGTTTTGCTGGTTTCGGGACTGCCACTTTGCCTCAGCCTGCTGGACAAGGGTCTCTTCAAATCGGGAGAGGCCATGACTCACCGCCAGCCTCCAGGCTGAATGCTCAGACATCAGGGTTTCCCATCTGTTGAGGTCCATTCCTAAGGCCTTCAGATGCCACTTGCAGACATCCTTGTATCGCAGCTGTGGTCTCCCTCTGGGGTGATTTCCCTGCACTAATTCTCACAGTGTACAGTTTACACTGTTTTGTCCCCAGTTTGCTGTGCATGTTGGTCATTGAAAGTAGTGTAACAGGTCAGTCAGCCCCAATATACTAGGTTCTGGGTACTTAATTTGTAACATGGCTGCAACAAATGGCACAGAAGACACTGACTGTGACATGCCTGAATGGGGACTGGAGGGCTCTCGGGCCTGGCTGCAGGCTACAGGAGTCCAGGTCCTATGATGTAATAGGAATGCGAGACTTCAGTTTTCTTGATATTAGTTGAGAGTCAAATTCTGCCAAATATGGCCTTTATAAGAAATTTATGACTTGTGTGGCTATTAATTTTCTCCTACAAAAACTGAAGAAACTAGAGGGCTTCATAGAATCATGATGCTGGAAGGGGCCCATAAGGCCATCGAGTCCAGCCCCCTGCTCAATGCAGGAATACAGATCTAAGGATATCTGGTTGTTAACATTGATCTTGGATGCCTCCAGTGTTGGAGCGCTCACCACCTCTCAAGGTAATTGGCTCCATTGTCATACTGCTCTAACAGTTAGGAGGTTTTTCCTGATGTTCAGCTGAAATCTGGCTTTCTGTGACTTGCTATCCTGGACTTGATTATAACCAGTAGAGATGGGTTGGTGGAAGAAGTGGCAGTAAGGAGAACTCTGGGGCAAAGTGACTATGTTCTGCTTGCGTTCTTCACTTCAAAGGAAGCAAAAGTGTAGCTGCCCATATATGCTTGGTTTTGGGGGAGGTGGTTTTAATAAACTGAGAACAAATGATAAGTAAGTTCCTGTGGCAGGAAATCCTAACAGGAAAAGAAGTCCAAGATAGGTGGGAGTTTCTAAAAAGGGAAAATCTACAACTAATTCAAATGAGGAAAAAAAAAGGTGGAAGACAGGTAAAAAGACCAATGTGGCTCACAAAAAAGCTCAGAGAGGACCTGAAAATTTTAAAAAAAACACACACATACGAAGTGTAATGAAGCATTGCAAGGATGGCGTTAGGAAAGTAAAAGCTGAGAATGAGCTGAGGTTAGCAAGAGATGCTAAAAGTGACAAAAAACACTTTTCAGGTAAGTGCATAGCAAAATACAGAGAGAATGAAAAGTGGCTTAGCTATGGAGATGGAAAATGTTAACCGATGACAAAATAAGGCAGAAGTGCCCAATGCCTACTTTAGCTAGGTCTTTTCCCAAAAGACAGCCTATGAGCCTCCAGACAAGTGGGAAGTATGAGTCAAGGGGACAGGATTGCAACTTGAGATTGATAAACAAATAGGCACAAAATACTTTATTACTTTGAATTCAGATCTCCAGGTTCCACTAAACTGCATCTAAAAGTATTGAAGGAACTGGCTGAAGAACTCTCAGAACCACTGCCTATTATTTTATCATAGAGAATGGGTGGATTTCCAGATGATTAGAGGAGGGCTAACATTGTCCCTGTCTTCAAAAAGGAAAAAAAAAGGAGAAAAATTACAGACCAGTCAGCCTGATGTCAGTCCTAGGGAAAATTCTGGGGCAGATTTAAAAGTGGTCACTCTGAACGCTCCTTAAACAATGCAGAAATAACTAAAACAAGATGCATTTGTCGAACAAAACCTGCCAGACTGATCTTATCTCATTTTTTGATTGGATGACTTCCCTGTTAGACAGTAGGAATGCTGGTCTTCCTTCCACTTCCTATATGTGTCCTTTTTTAAATATTCAGCAAAGCTTTTAACAAAGTGCTCCATGATGTTCTGATTATTGATTAATTGATTGGATTTTTATACCACCTGATTAGTGATGAACACTACTCCGGGCAGTGAACATAAAGAACAAAAAATCAGACCTTCACTCCCACCCATCAGCAAAGAACAAAGGGCAAACAACATAATTTTTAAACTAACAAAAAAGAAGCCATCTTATCGATGACTAGCAAGATAACTAGGTGTGGTGTGGACAGAACAACCGTAAAGTTGGATACACAGTTGATTACAGAACTGTACTCAGAGAGTGCTTATTGGTGTTTCCTTCTCAAACTGGGAGGAGGTAACAAGAGGTATACTGCACCTGGGCCTGGTGCTCTTCAACATTTTTATTAGTGACTTAGATGAGGGTGTGTAGGGAATGCTCTATCAAATTTGCAATGACACAAAATTGAGTGGAATAGTTAATGCCCTGGAAGACAGAAACAAAATTCAAAAAGATCTTGATAGACTTAAGCAAACAAGAGAATGAAATTTAACAGGGATAAATGTGAAGTTCTATACCTAAGGGGAAGAAACAAACACACAGTTAGAATTTGGGAGTTATTCAGTAATACCACAGGCAAGAAGGATCTTGGAATTGTTGTAGATGAAAAGCTGAGTATGAGCCAACAATGCAGTGTGGCGGCAAAAAAGGCAAATGCTATTTTAGGGTGCATTAACAGAAATACAGTCTCCTAATCTTGTGAGGTACTAGTTCACCTCTGTTCGGCACTGGTTAGGCCTCATCTCGAGTATTATGTCTAGTTCTGCATACCACACTTTAAGAGGGATGCAAACAAATTGGAACAAATTCAGAGAAGATCAACAAGGATGATCAGGGAACTGGACTCCAATCCTTATGAGGGAAAACTGAAAGCACTGGGCATGTTTAGCCTCCAGAGAAGAAGACTGAGGGAAGATACGATAGCACTTTTCAAGTACTTGAACAATGATACGATAGCACTTTTCAAGTACTTGAACGATTGTCATACAGACAAAGGGCAGAATCTGTTCTCATTCATCCCAGAGTGCAGGACACATAAATAATGGGCTCACGTTACAGGAAGTGAGATTTTGGTTGAATATCAGGAAAAAATTCCTGACTGTTACAGCAGTTGCTTAGTAACAGCTTGCTCCAAAAAGAGACAGGGCTGTCATTTGACCACATGGTACCTGAGAAAATTTCCTTGGGTGACTGTGTTTGTTTTGATGCTGTCCCTCTTGCACTGTTCTTAGGGCTGTCATTTGACCACATGGTACCTGAAAAAAATTCAGGGTGACTGTGTTTTGATGCTGTCCCTCTTGCACTGTCCTCCTTCAGTTCTCCTTGAGTTTTGTATCTCCCTTGTCTCCTTCTCAGCTGAAGAGTTTTGACCAGTTCATCTGCAACCTGATGTATGTGAGCTGGAGGAAGACTCTCACAGAATACCTCCATGGCTACTACTTCCAGGGCCAGGTGTATTATACTTTAAATATTCTGCACGAGGAAATTGACAACCCGTAAGTGGCTGTGTCCCTTTTGTGCTGTTACTATCTGCCTCTGACATGTTTGTATTGGCCTCTGCTCCATAGGAGGATGGTTATTGCTCCTCAAATGTGGGTAGTCCACTAAGTTTTTCCCCTGCCAAGGTATGAGTGGACTCTTCTACAGAGTCACAGGGAGGCAGTTCAGTTAAATTTCTGTTGTATGTTATGTGCTCTGTATGGTTAGCTTTATCTAGTACTAAAGTCTCAGAATTTAAAAAAATGCAACAAGCGGGTACTTGTTTTGTCCACTTGTAAAATTAGAAAACAGTACAGTTTCTGCTTTAGAGGACAGTATCCATGCATTGCTTTAATAGTGGTTTTGAGATCCTAGAATAAATTGCTGGAAGGAATCCTAGTGATCAGTGTGGTTTGCAGAACTGGCCGCAGTATGCCAGGTGAGCTTCAACCAAAGCAGAACAGAATGCTGGGTGCTCTTTTTAACCTCTCTTTCTGAAAGTAGGGAAGACATTTGCTCATTCCCAGTCCCCAGGGACCTCACTTGTTTTCCAGATATTTTCAAAGATTACAAGACAGGGGCCCTAAAATCACGTCACCATGTTTTCAGCAGGAGAGAATGCTTCTAAACAAATAGGAATTTTTTTGCTGGAGTTTGTAGACCTGATCTGGCCCTTGCAAGTTCCGATCAAGCCCGATTCCCTCTTTGAGGATACAATAGCCCACGAATCGGGGTGGATAAAAATCAGTGATATTTTAAAAATCTAATTGATTTAAATCAAAATTTAAATTTTATTTAAAGTGTGAAAAAATCAGATTTTAAAAAATAAATAAATTGTGAATTAAATTTCAATTAAATCAAATCTACCATGCCACTTATACAGAGCTGTTTGAGTTAGGCATGCTGTAAACCTTAGTGGAAGGAACACCTGGCTTACATATCCATCTATCTATCCATCTGTCCGCCTGACACCAACAACATGCTTTGATTTAGAGCTGCTAAAGAAGCCAGAAGCCAAAACATTTTACTATCGAATTCTAATATTAAATACATGCCTAGCCAATAAGACGTGTTCTTCAAATGGTACAGAAAAAGTAAAAGAATAAATTGTAGTATGAAAATTCCTTTCCAAAGGAGGAAAAAAGAGAATAGGAATTGATGTTTTGTTGTATTTTGTTTAAAATATTTTACCCTGCCTTTCTCTTTAAAAAGGACCCATGATGGCTTACATCATTAAAAAATATTATAAACTAAAACCAGTATTTATTCAAATATTTAAAAATAATGAAAAAAATGTTATATTAAAAACATTACAGTACATTATTCAAATATTTAAAAATAATGAAATAAACGTTATATTAAAAACATTCGGTAAAAGCATTACTGAAAGATTTGAAAGCAACAAAAATACAAACAACCTCATTTTAAAACCTCTCTTAGACAGCCAGTCACTAAGGAAAAACCTGTCTGAAGACAAAGGTCTTTGCCTGCTTGCAGAAGGATAGCAAAGATGGGGCCAGCCTGGCCTCCTGTGGAAGGGAGTTCCAGAGTTTGGGAACAGCCACAGAGAAGGCTTTCTCCCATGTCCCCACCAAATGCACCTGTGGGGGGCGGGGGGTGGAATCTAGAGACAAACTTTCCCCCACCAAATGCACCTGTGAGGGTGGTGGTGAAATCTAGGGACAAGCTTTCCCTTAACACCCAGGCAGGTTTATAAAGGGAGACACAGGCTTTGAGATAGCTTGGACCCAAGCCATTTAGGGCTTTATAGGTTAAAAAAAACAGCACTTTGAACTGTGCCCAGGAATGGATCGGCAGCCAGTGAAGCTGCTATAAGGGGGGGAGGTGATCCTTGTGACCAGCCCCAGTTAACAGTCTTTGCATACAGCCTGCCTTTTTTTTTTCATTTAAAATCTCTGGCCTTTCAGAGGTGACAACTTCCTCTACTTACCAGAAGCACTGTTGATGTTCATGCCATAAGCTAGCTGGAAACATTTTATTTCCGACGATGGCTTTCAGGCTGGAATGATTTTGTTTTTTGAAAATTCACTGGCCCTAGAATGACAGCATTAGCCAAATCTATGAAGGAACCACATTCATCTTAACTGAGCAACTTTTGCTCTCTTTTGTTGTCCTTGTGGTGTGTGCCAGTTTACTTCCTCTCTTTACTTTACAGAGACCAGCGGATCAGTCAGGATGTGGAGAGATTCTGCAAACAGTTGAGCTCCATGGCCAGTAGGCTGATCCTCTCACCCTTCACGCTTGCTTACTACACGTATCAGTGCTTTTATAGGTAAGAGAAATCTTCATCTAGGTAGTCAGCTGGAGCCCACATTTTTGTCCTCTGCATGCTCTGTAGTATGCCTGCAAAATTTTTGATAAGAAGTCATCAAAACCAGAAAGGACTGAGGAATCAAAGTTGAGCTGCTTCTATAAGTCTGTGAGAGAATGTTGGGGGGGGGATCCACCCCCCCCCAAAAAAAAATGCCAAGAAGGGAGAACTAAGAGGTTCTGTGAGTGCTGGAGATCCACAAAATGACCTTGAAGGACTGTGCACTCCCACCCACAAACCACATCTTGCTTGCCGTGGACTAGGAATGGCATTATTAGAGTGGAGAACCAGCTATCAAGAATGCACCCCATGTGTACACCATGTTGTAGATTGACCTACTGATCAAGGTATTATGACTGTGCTCTTTAACAGCTGCTAGGTCAGGAATGGGGGACCTGAAGCCTTCCAGATGTTGCGCTCCAATTCGTCGCAATCTGGATCTGTCACGAATGGTGGAAATTGCTGGCCAGCAACATCTGGAGCGACACCTGTTCTATACCAACGCTCGAAACAGAAGTGTGTGGACCAGGAGAGGGCCAGGGACGATGGGCTTTTTTGCAGTTAAAGCTCTCCTGGAGAGATCTGCTATGAGGAAGGAGGAGTTTCAAAATATGGACATTGTTGGGATGAGAGACATGTGGAGGGAATAGATATTGGAAAAGAGGGCTGAGGATGTGAGGAGAAGGGATTTTGAAGGCGATAGTACTGGAAATGCTGTCTCCTTCAAAATGACAAAATATCTGGACAACTGTTATCATTGGGAAATACAACAATATTTTTAACAACAACAATAGTCGTAACCATAATCATCTTGGAATTGCAGAGCTAGAAGAGACCTTATTGATTGAGACCAGCCCTTATCAAAGAATCTCGGTTGGGAATCAAACTCCCAACTTCTGACTCTGCAGCCAAACACTGAAACCACTGAGCTTTCTTTTTCCCACCTGAAGTGTGATAGATTGATATATAGACAGGAGCCATTGACAGATTTAATAACTTCTCTGTATTGCTGTCTTTTAGCACTGGATGGATGGGTCCAGTGAGTATCTTTGGATATTTTATCATTGGGACATTGGTCAACAAGATCCTAATGAGCCCCATTGTTGCCAAACTGGTACAGCAAGAGAAACTGGAAGGTGACTTCAGGTGGGTGGATTCAGCCGATCTTGCAATTGCCTTGACCCCAGAAATTACTGTCATCAACGGCTTGGGCCCTGGATACCTGAAGGACTGCCTCCTTCCATAGGAGCCTACCTGGCATTTAAGATATAGCCAGGGAGCCCTTTTGAAAGAGATGTCCCTCAAGGAGGTAAGAGGGACGGCTTGTAGACAAAGGGCCTTTTCAGCAGCCTGTCCCCAGACTATGGAATGCCCTCCTGACTGAGATTCGTCTGGCGCTGACGCAAATGACATTTCGGCACCAGGTCAAAACCTTCCTGTTCCAGAAGGCTTTTAATTGAAATAATATCAACTGTGGGTCCTGATGGCAATTTTTAGAGTATCTATTTTATCTGTATTTTGATTGTCTTTTTATTGTATTTTAATTGTTGTAAGCCGCCCAGAGACCTTTGGGTAGAGTGGCTGGCATATAAGTTAAATCAATCAATCAGTCTGAACTGATGCGTCAGGCATCATTTCCCTTTCTCACATACTGGTACTCAAATTTTGCTTTAGTTTATTTTGAGAAAGCACTCAGAATAAGCCTTCTGAAGGATGGTAGAGAAAAGTCCACGCTGGATGGAGTGCTGATCAGCATGTCCCTTGATTCACTTTTAGACGTTTTGTGCTATAGTTCTGGATTTTGTAAACTTGATTATCTGATCTGTGGTGGCCTCTGTTGACCTCAGGTTCAGGGCGTGCACTCCATAGATCAGATAATCATGGCCTGGTACCTCATTCTCATGTCCAGCCCTCCCAAATTTCCTTCCCCTCACAAGCAGGGATCCTAATGGGTTGCTGGAAGAGGGAGGGAGGCTCAAGGATTCTTTTCACTCCCAACAGCCAAACAAGCAGTCAGGGTCACTGCAGGCAGGCTCAAATGCACACACGGGGTCTTTGTATGTCCGTATGCACACTTTTCTACTCCCGTGTGCAGTTGTCTTTGGTTAACAGGCTGTGAGCCTTGAAGACATGGCTACATACTGAAACATGCATTTTCTTTGCTTTCAACAGGTTTAAACACATGCAGCTGCGGGTGAATGCAGAATCTGCAGCGTTTTACAGGTAATGAGAGTACTTCTCTTTTTAGTAGCTTTCCTTGCTTCCTGAAAGGGGAGGGGAAGGTATGGACAGGCACCTGCTGGCGACACCTCCTGAATTCCATTTCCTACACCCTTTCTGCCAGCCACTTGGTCTGTTTTCCTGTTCCCACCTTTACTGCCCCACCTTTGCAGTTGCCTCCTGTATACCAGTGCAAGCACAGTATCTGTGCTAAGGCGTGTTATTTTCTTGCAGACAAACAAGCTTGAATGTTATGCAGGATAGTCCTTCATAGCAGTTCTTCTCCAATCTGGGCCTCTCCTGAGGTGTTGGACTGCATTGCCCATTATCCTCAGCCGGCAGGGCCTTTGGTATACCAAAACATCTCAGAAACATTGAGCTATATTATTATTATTAGTTTGATTAATTTATAGAAGGTTGCTTTATGATCCCCGTAAATAAACTGGGTGTATCTGTCTGTCTGCTCTGCTTGTAAACCTCTCTTAGTAAGTGTGATCACCTCCACATCATTCCACCCTTATTGATTTTAAGAGAAAGTTAGACAACCATCTGTCAGATATACTTTGATTTGGGTTCCTGCATTGAGCAGGGAGTTGGACTCAGTGGCCTCATAGGCTCCTTCCAACTCAATTGTTCTGTGATTCCCCTTCAGAATATTTCACTTTGAACCATGAACAGCCTTAAAAATGGAAATACCAGGAGCATTTTGTGAGGATTTTCCTTATCCACTGTTGCTCTGGCAAGTGTGAAAAACTTTTATTTTTCTCCTACCATTAATTTAGTGTCAGTACAGTTGAATCCTTGTCAAATTAGGTCGATAAATATCCCCTAGCTTCATAAAATAGTAATTATGTGTCGAGAATTTGATTCTGACTCATGTCAGCTCTGGCCAGGTTTTGCTAGGTATAATAATAATAATCATGGTGTTCTATCAGGTCAATTCTGGCTTATGGCAGAATTATGCCAGGGCTTTATTGGTAGAGAGTATTCAGAGGTGGTTTAACATTCCCTTCTTCTAGGGGTGCCCTGGAACTGTGCAACTTGCCCAAGGCTGGCTCTTCTGGGATGCCCAGAAGAGAACTGAACTCCCAGCCTCTTGTTCCATAGCCAGATATTTACCTCACTGAGCTATCCAGCCAGCTTTGCTAGGCATAAAGTTCTACAAAATAATTTACCCAAAAGACTTAAGGAACTTGACATAAGGTGAGAGATGCCAGCCATGGCTGGTAGATTTATGAGTCCCTGGTGCTTATTATTCTGAAATCTAGGCAAATCTTAGTTTGACTCAGGTGATGTGACACTTACATTGGTGGCTTTTCTACCCACGGTTGTTATGGTTCCACCTGGTGCTCCCACAATTTGCTAGTCCACCCTAAATAGTAGAAAAATATACATGATGTCTACCATTCTGTTTTGTGCCACATGAGGTCGCTAGTCTCATTGGGAATCTCACCAGGGGAAAAAAACAGTAACATTAAGAGCAATATCATCTGGAAGTCGCCAAGTCATCTGTTCCCCTAGATTTAGAAGGACTTTGAACCAGAGGATGGAATGAGTCTTTTCCTTCTCCTTTCTCTATCTGTAATTTGTATGTAGGGCATTGTATTTTGTTTTGTTTTGCTTTGTTTGCTCATTTATTCCAAAGGAGAATGGTAGAAAGATCTCACAGACATTGTCCTGTTGGGAACATCGGGTTGAAATGTCTTTATATTAATTACAAAGAAAGGCAAAATGGGGACCTCCCATCACCAGCAACTCTCTTTCCTATTGTTTTTGAGCCACCAGTTTGGTCATTGCATCCATCAGGATGGCAGGTCTTTGATCAGCATCTTTCTCATCTTCCAGGTGAAACAAAGGTTGTTTATTTTGACGTCAAATGCCCTTCCAAGCTTGCATGGGCCAAAAGACTTTGAAGTATCACTAGGAACAAGGACACGGTTACTCTCACTAGCTATCCAACAACTCAGGGGTGTAACACTTGTGCCCACCTTGTGGACTTCCCATGGACAGCAGCTGACTGGCTGCCATGTAAACACAATGCTGGTTTGTTTTCATTTGATCCAGTTTCCCTGGAGCCTGAACACCTTTCCAAAACAAAAATTGGCAGAATGGTTTTGAACTGTATCATTTATTATTGTGGTTGTAATTAGCCTTTTTATTTATTTTCGCAAAGAGAAATTGAGTATATGCAGCAAGCTAATACCACGGTGAATCTTTGCCACCCTCCACGTAAAAGCATGTGCTTCCACACACACCTCATGAACTCTGGGTATGATCCTTGCTCAGATTGCTCATGTAATGTTGTTTCCGCTTTGCAGAGCCGGGGAAGTTGAGCACATGCGAACCAACCGCAGACTGCAAAATCTTCTGCAGACACAGAGGGAGCTGATAGGCAAAGAGTTATGGCTCTACAGTAAGCAGAATGTTTTTTCTCAACAGCTAAGCAGTGCTTTACTGGTAGGCTTCAAAGTGTAGGTTGCAGACTCCAACTGCCTAGATGTATAATTTTAGTTTCTCTCAACACTGGCTGCTCCCTGTTTCCCCGCAGGGACTGCAGATGGCATCACTCTCCCTCGTCCACCAGCTTGCAGTAGCATTGCTGTTGAAGCCAAGTCCTTCTGGGAAGGCTGTTACCATCCGGGTCTGTCATGCCATACCTCCAAGGAGAGTCCCTCCATCCAAAAAAAAAAAAAGAGCATGTTTCTGTGCTGATGCATATCAACAAGCCAGTTCTAGCAGTTTTCAGCTCTACTAAGAGCTTTTGCAAAGCTAATAGATTTAATTTATGCATTAAAGACTATGATGCCCCCAGATACTTCAGATTATAATAGAGATCCCTGTTAACATTACTTTGTCAATGGGAACAGTCCCTTCTTCACCATATACTGTGGAGGCTGCAGCTAAATTCAAGGGGAGATGGAACTCCATGAGAGGTGGCAAAGGATGTCATGATCATCATCATCACCTTAGGACTGCAGAGCTGGAAGGGACCCTACGGATCATGAAGTCCAGCCCCTGTCAAGGAGGCACAGTGAGGAATCGGATTCCCAACCTCTGGCTCTGTAGCCAGATACCTAAACCACTGAGCTGTCTAGCAGTTCTTATCCTTGTTGATCAGAGAAGCCTCCACTATACCATTTTTTATAAATTTGTTGCTTTGTTGGGGAGAAGCTGGTGGTTGGAATCTGATAGAAGAGCAGTTTTTGGAGCATTAATTACTGCTAACGGGGGGGAAACGATAAGGAGATGAGCTTGTTTAACATAAACAGGTTTCATAGGAAGCCAGACAAACATATACGGGAGCACTGGGCCTGGCCTTAAATGCCTGAAAGTGGCCTTGAGGGCTGAACTTTGAAGGCAAAATGAGGCTAGTATTGAAGGAAGTGACTTAAATGGCTAGTAAGCCTTGGGGATTTTGCTAGCTTATTTAAGCAATTAAGGATCTGCTAAATTGTTTTCAGTAAGCTTTCTGTCACTGAATAATAAGTGGCAAACTAGAATAGATTTAACTTATTATTCACATGCATTATTCTGAGTACTGGAAGTTAAGTTTGCATACAGAGAATATGGCCTAACTAAAATTTAACACAAAGCCCAAGGTTTTTTACTGATTTTACTGGTAATACAAACACAGAATTTGCAGATTAATTTATTCTGTCATTATTGCCTTGAGTGACCAAACTGGTCTTTTATCGTGTGCTTTTCTGTCTTTTGCTACCTTCACCTAGTAAAAATGGCTGCAGGTCAGCCTTTCTCACCTTATCCATGACTGCTTCAACAGTTGTGTTTATCCGCTGCATGATTTGGGCAAAATGGCACACACACAAACACACTAGGAAAGGGGGAGACAAGCTGTGAAACTTGAAAGCAAATATAAAGCCCACCTGTGGGGAGAACTATGTTGCCAAAATGAGCTTTGGAAGCCAAGAATAACTCTGAGCTATGTGTTTATAGGGTTTATGTTTAGAGGGTTTATTTTTCATTTAGTTGCAACTTAAATGGTAATTTAGTTGCAACTTAAATGGTAATTCCTCAGTGCATGGATCTAGAATTAGCTGTCCTTGCAATTCTTCTCAGAATCAGATTCTTGTGTTGAAAGATTCTATCTGTTTGCATTGGGTGCTGAGAATATGATGTTTTCTGGGCAGAAATTCTGTGTTATTCATTGCTTCATACTGATGTGTTTCTGCTTAGTTGGCATCAACACTTTTGACTATCTGGGCAGCATCCTGAGTTATGTCGTCATTGCCATTCCTATTTTCAACGGAGTCTACGGCGATCTGGATCCAGCAGAACTAAGTTCCTTGGTTAGCAAGGTGAGTTTCTGAAAATTCCTGTGGGTGGGAAGCTGTTGGTTTTGTATTCAACTCTAGCATTTCTGTCCATCTGGGTTCTCTCTCTGACCACCCTTTGATGAAGGCAATGAAACCCTGTAGAGGTTTCTTACATAGCCCTCCACATATTTTTGGACTCCACCCTTCACTATCAAAACATTTGAGAGGAGAATATTGGTAGAGGTTTATGCCACTCACAGCCTGCTCTCTATCAGAATGGGACTACAGCTCCAGTAATCCATCACCATCGTCTATGTTGGCTAGGACTGATGGGTGTTACAGTCCCCCAACAACTGGATTGCTGTCTATTCCCTACTTCTTTTATATAATTTTGCTCATAGCACACCACAAATAAAAGATTAAATGTACTGTAGATATGAATGCTTCAGATGTCACTCATGGCAGTTGTAACCCTGTTGTCTGGGAAAACATGGCACAGCTTTTAAAGGATAGTGGTGCTTTATCACAGGGGTGGGCCCTAGAGTTCGGTTTTCTATCTCTAGGATCTACTGTGGGCCACACCAGCCTTGAAAATGAGGAGAAACAAGAGCAGAACAGGAAGTGGTTAGGCTTTATCTGCTTTTGAGCTGGTGTGTTTCCTTGCTCCTAAACATTTCCAGGAATTGAAAAATGATACTCAGAGAGAAAAATACTTTTCCTGGTGGTGGCAGCTAGGGAGCCACGCACACACAAACAAACCTCCCTACTTATAATCAGATAGAAGCCTACAACAAGATCACCAAGAGATAACAAATCCTGCCATAGCCTGCATGTTGATTCTACATACTGTTGACTTTTTGGGAGACAGCTCAGGCCAGCCGGCTAATTTGTCAGGCAGTTTGTCAAATTTATAGCTTCACCTGTCATGGGATAGAAAACTCTTTCCTTTGAAATCAAGTGGGGCCAGTCCTCTTAGAGAGGGTGTCATAACCCAGTTTCTTTACCTCATCTAAACTCTGAAAGTGATCACTCCAGTCTAAAAATAGTTGGGCCTGGCATTCCTCACTGTGCTTTGAAAGGCCTTTTTGGATCAGGAAAGAGGTGGCCTTGTGACTAGAACACAGGCGGGTTGTCATGACCCCAGGCAGAGAGAATGGAAAGTAGCAGTGCCAGAAATTACTGAGGACCTTGGCAAGAGGCCGAGCCTGGTTGCAAACAGTAGCTGCTTATATGGATATAGATATACAGTATTGACTTCTTTATTGCAATCTTCGCTTTTCTCCCCATGTTATCCATGGAGTGGATTGTCTGTTTTTCAGACTGACTGGTTTTCATACAAAAAAGATGTTGGTACCAGAGAGTTTCCTGTTTCAAAGCAGCTTTTTACAGTTAGGCAATGAATAATGTATATCCCCGTATAAAGCAAGTCCTGGGGTTATATAAGTAGTATACTGTGCCCTGCATGGGCCAAAAGGCAGAACATGGATGGGAAGAATGCCGTTCTTGAGCAGCATCAGCCCGCGGCTTGCCTCAGTGGCCTCAGGAAGAGGGAAGGAGAGAATGAATTAGTTCACACCTTGTTATGGGATTTATGGGCAGTGCTTAGAATAGTAACCGTTTTGACTACACTTTTCAGAATCTCACAGCCAGCATGCCCACTGATCATCAGATTCTGGGAGTTGTAATTCAAAAAAGTAACTTTTCTGATCTCTCTAGTAATTTTCTGCTCTGTGATCAGTCTTTGTCTCCAGCCTAATCTCATGTTGAATTCCTCTTGCTGGCTTGCTCAGTCTGCACATGGTTTTTGCCTTGCAGAATGCCTTTGTCTCTATTTACTTGATTAACTGCTTCAGTCAACTCATCGACCTCTCCACCACTGTGTCTGATGTAGCCGGCTACACGCACAGGTGAGTCGTCTTGTCTGTGGCCTTCAGTGGATGGTGTTGTTGCCCTCTGTGTGTCACTCTGAGCTCTGGCAGAACAGAGGAAGGCCTCTGCTTCCATCAGAGCTCATATGGTGTATGAGAGTCTGTGTTGTCCCATCATGGTTACACGAGTTCGGCCTTCCCTCTGAGGCATTGTTAGAAAAGAAACAAGCGGTATCCGATTACTCTCCTTATGCATCAGGAGATGAATATTTGTAATTAGAATGTCCAGACCTTCAAGAGAAGAACGAGTTCCTGTGGCATAAGGAGAGCCAGGATGGTGTACTAGTTAGAGTGGTGGGCTAGGATGCGGGAAATGTAAGTTCAGTCCTCACTCCAGCCATGAAATTCACAGAGTAACCTTGGCTAGTCACAATCTCTCGGTCAGTTGCTGTGAAAATAAAGTGGGGAAGAGGAAAGTCCGTGAGGAATACTCCATGTATTCATGGAGGCTTGAACTCACTGGAGGAAAGGTGAGATATAAAAAGCAACAAAAGTGAGTCTAAATTCTTCCACTTTGATCAGTGAGCCTTAGATGGCTGGTGTCTTCACCTACATGGCATTAACATTTAGCTAGACAGCACAGGCAGTAAGAAGTACTATTCATATGTTTAAAAACTCCCCTGTCATTTGGGGTGGGTGGGTATCAGGCTTCTTCCCACCCCTATTGCGGCCCTTCTTGCAGAGGATTTAGCATTTATTCTTATTTTTAAAAATCATTTTTCTGGTTTTGAACAAGGTAACACTGGAAACCACACAGGCTTTTCAAAAATGAAAAGTAGTGTAGAAGCAACATAGATAAGTGTTTCCCCCACCTCTCCTGTGCCTGCTCTTTCGCCTTCATTTCTGGTTTTTGTAGAATTGGGGAGTTGCAGGAGATGCTGCTAAAACTTTCCGAGAAACAAAATGACTGTGAATCGCAGGCGGAATGGGACTTCAACAGGTGAGTAGCTCCAGAGATGGGAGAGGGTAGCTTCCTGCATGTTGCTTGGACATTGTATACAGGAAAGGGAAAACAATTCAAATTTCAGCAGAACATCTTTGCCTTGCTTCTGGGGTGACAAGATCTTTTTGGAGGAGATCTTGCAGCCCAGACTCTTCCTTGTTTTAAATCTCTCTCTGCTTTGGCATTTAGACCATGATGAGCCCATGAGAAAAAAGTTGGAAACATCCATGGTGGGGTAAGCAGTGAGGATTATAGGAAGCTGCCTCACACCAGGTCCAGAGCTGCAGTTCCTTCTTTGTTAATATTATTATTTAAAGTATTTCTCCCCTACTCTATGGCCAAAAGGCTCCCAAAGCAACAGTAAATAAAAGACCTGAGGGAAGTCTTAGCAAGGCAAAGAGTGAAGAGGAGTTGCAGGGTGTAACACTCCAAGCAAGAGTTCATCCTTGTCCTCCATAATTGTGGCTGAGAGTCAGACAGAGGAGGCCCAGAAGTCCAAAAGATAAGCAGTGGAGTCTGGAAGCTGTAGCAGTTTGTGCAGACAGGGCTGTGGACTGGACTGCTGGTAGGTTCTCTAGAATACAGTAATCGTTTTAAATTGTCAGAGGCTTATTCAAAGAGGATGTAATAGGTTTTGTTGAGCAGCTTTAGAAATCCCATCCATACCTTCATAAAAGGCCTTTGCAGACTTTCCCTAATAGAGGCCAGCGTCAGCACCTCTGAGGCATACTTCTGCAGCAAAATGCCACACACTCTGTGACTGTTTTTGTTTTGGGTCCCACTTTTATATTTTAGGAGCAGGAACCCTCTATGTTGTCTGGATGGCTCAACTTAGCTTACTTCCAGGCCCTGTAAATGTCCTTTATGAGTGAAAGGCGGAGCCTCTGCTGTCAATATACTCTCTAGCGTGCTTTAAGAGAGTCTTCCCAATAAGGAACCTTCCAAATGTTTCAGCCTACAGTTCCTCTCAGCCTCAGCTAGCACAGCCAAAGATTGAGGATGATACGAGTTCAAGTCTTGGAGATGGGGATAAAAGACTGCCTCCTACTTGTAAGGCCCTGAGGCATATCCCACTACCCTGAGAGTTTTTTATTGATGGCAAATAAGATTTGCCTTGCTCTCAATTGTGGAATTCCCTTCCAAGGAAAGTCAGGTTGCTCCATCCCTCTGAATTTTCTTCAGGAAGTCAAAACTTGTATGTTTCCATCAAGCCTTTAGCTTTTTAGTTTTGCCTGAAAAACATTTGTTTTATATTGTAATTTTATTGCACATTGCCTTTGGAGTTCTGATATGCAGAAAAGCAATTTGTAAATGCTTTCAATAAATGAGCAATTCAATCCAATTCCTGGGCTTAGAAAAATTACCTTTTCCCAGTACCATTTTTCCAACTAGGGGCTGAAAGAGTTATAGTAACTCTTAAAAAGTAAATTTTGTAAACTCTAGCCAAAGCATCTGTACAGCCTGAGGTTGAGAGGGGGAAAACGCTCTGTTTTTTCTTCTTGTTTCTCCTTTTACGTTTCTTTCACCTTCTCTTTTTATTGGGTTCAATCCTTTTAGTGTTTCGAGAGACAAGATGGTTTCAAGTGACACAGCTTTCCTCCTGGAAGACATCTCAGTCTCAGCTCCTTCTGAGAAGCTGCTTATTAAGGATCTAAACCTGAGGATTACACAGGGAAACAACCTATTAATTACTGGGAACACTGGAACAGGGAAGACATCTTTGCTGCGTATCCTCGGTGGCCTCTGGACAACCAAACAAGGTGAGTATATTGGTTTCTCAGCTGTTGCTTAGGCTAACGGCTGCCCTTTTAGCATGGCAGATGGTTGAATGCTTTGAACTAATCAGGAACCCAAAGGTAGTCTTTTCTGTTAGTGGATTCTTACTGCTGTTGTGCAGAGGTACCAGACTTTCCTTTGCCCCATTTAAACCTAGCATATATACATATAAAAAAAGGAGTGCTGGCCATATGAATACTGATTACAGCCATTATGCATAGTTGTTCTCTCCACGTGGAAAGCCATTTGTATATTGTCAATGCCAACCTTGTGAGTGATGTCTTTTTGCCTGTCACACACTCCAGTGCTGGCACAGCGTGACATAATGTTTTTTTTAGGGGGGGCATGTGAGTCATTGCTTATCTTGATCCCTATAGGTGGGCTGGACAGAATGAGTGTGTAGCACTTATACCCAGCAGTTCATGCAGTAAATATAGGGAGGTTTAGCCATGGCTGTTGCCAATACATACAGACAGAAGTGACAGCTAGTGAATTTCGTTTCCATCGTTTCTTCTCACTACTTTTTATCCTATTTTAGCAGCTAATAGTGTAATAGTATATACTGTACCTGTAAAAATCAGCAAGATGTATTGTCAGGAAGATATGTATAGTGCTGCAGCTTAAGATTTTGGAATTTCTCATTATCCACTGCTGACAAACCACTGCTGGTTTGCTTCAGTTACTTTCTTCACACTCAAAATCAGCAATATTGGGGATGAGACAAGCCTACCTTAAAAAGTTGGTGTGGGAACTGTTAAGATAAATTATCACATTGTGAAGTGTTAATTACTTAATTTACTTAAAGCACTTATAAAAAGGCACCCAAGGTGGATTGCAAAGATGAGTTTTCCCTTCAATTTCCCTATCCCCGTCATGCCCTTAAGGCAGTGGTCCCTAACCTTGGGCCTCTAGATGTTCTTGGACTACAACTCCCAGAAGCCTTCACTACCACCTCTGCTGGCCAGGATTTTTGGGAGCTGAAGTCCAAGAACATCTGGAGGCCCATGGTTGGGGACCCCTGCCTTACGGCATGACAGGGATAGGGAAATTGAAGGGGAAAAGCCATGATCAAATTGTAGTTCTTATTAGAATCAGTTCGGTTGGCCTGCTGGAATAAGTTACAAAGTGACTGCTTTGTGAGAGATTCAAGTAACTTGATTTGATATGGGCTCATATCCCTGTGTATGTGATTATTTCTGTGGGATCTGTGCAGGAGATGTCCACATGCTGACATGTTTTGGCCCCCATGGAGTAGTGATCTTGCCACAGCGACCTTTCTTCACAGATGGGACCCTGCGAGAACAGGTGAACCACATTGGTACTAGACGAAATATTTTGTTGGCCCCCAGGCTTTTCAAAGGGATGATTCTGAAGAAAGTCTCTGATATCTGTTGTAGGTGCCCACTCAAGAGCATTTTATTAATATTAGTATTAATTTATTCTCCACTAAGTAGGGTCAAGTGACAGTGGCATTTACCTTGTGAAAAGTAACACAGTAGTTCTCAATCAGAAATATGTAGAAGTGGTCTAAATGGGACACAGTGGCTGAAATCATATTGCTTAGTGTAGTAAGTTGCAAATGGAGTAGGCCCATTTAGGAATTTAGTAAGTCAAATTGTCTTAAAGTTCCATTGATTCAAAGGGGAGGCAAGGTATGTCTTCCATAAGATCTAAGGAATCAAGAAAAACTAAAACCAAGATTAAGCATACTAAAAGTTCAACAGGGGAATATCTTACCTCATCCAGATAATATAAAGAGAAGACATAAATAATATACTGAAGAACTATCCTGTTTCCCCGAAAAGAAGACCTAACCTGAAAATAAGCCCTAGTATCATTTTTCAGGATACTCGTAATATAAGCCCTACTCCAAGAATAAGCCCTGGTTAAGGGAAACCCCGCCCTCCACCATTGTGCAGCAACCAGAAGAAGATGACATGACTGTATTTGAATAAATGTAGATAGTTGTACATGAGAAAATTAAAACATTCCCTGAAAATAAGCCCTTATGTGTTTTTTGAAGCAAAAATTAATATAAGAACCTGTCTTATTTTCCGGGAAACACGGTATACAGAAGAGATACAAAGATGACAGATTCCTTTGTAGAAACTTTTGATGAAGAGTGTGTACTCTTCAGTAGTTCCAAAGTGCATTGGCATAAAGATTAGTTGGATGTAAAATATGAATAATAGTAGAATAATATTGTGTCTGAGTTTGTTTGTTTACTTGTTTTTGACCCTTTTTGTGCCTGTGTTGCTTCTTATTTGAAATTTGTGTTGGATTTTATTTAATTCAGGTGATATACCCTTTAAAGGAAATCTATCCCGTTTCAGGTGAGTGGAGACTACAGTTCCTTATTTTACGCTTTGTGGCCTGTTCGTTGCAATGTGTATCTGCATGGCATCAATTCATATTGTAAGCCTCTTGGCTTCCTTTTGGCAGGATCCTCCCTTCTGCAAAACTAAATTGAACCAGGATATTAATTACAAGTGGTGTTCAGTATGTGGACGGCTGCAAAATGTCCGTTCGTGTGTACATTTGGCTTGGGACCTGTAAAACCAAAGGAATATTACAATAAGCTGTAAGTGTATTTGGGGGTTGGGAGAATTTGCATTTTGCACTTGGGAGGAAAAGCCAAACAGAATGCATACAAGTACTGTATGTGCCTTTGCATTCTGAACACAAGATTTAGTTTTCTGGAGGCTGAAATTAGTTTATGTTCAGATGTAGAGTACATTGAAACCTAATTGTGATTCTTCTGTTTTGATGCTGGGGTCTTCTCTGTAGTACCGGTAGGTCTATATAAGGAAGAAAATGGATCCTGTAGGAGTGGGAACTGAAAGTTTCATTGGAATCATTCGGAATTATCCCATTTTACAAACTTAAGCACCCCGTCTGGCTGCGTCCACAGTATCACAGGATGTATTTGACTATTTGCCATCTTCAAAGGATAGCTTGGGTTTTGAGGAGGGAGAGAGGTGGTATCTTTTATGAGTTCTACCTGGATGGTACAAAATGAAAGAATGGTTCTTTGCATTTGAACTTTAGATTGTGGATCTCAGGGAGGCTTAAACAGGAGCATAAGGGAGATCAAGTCATTTGTTTTGGGCGAATGATGACACGTCCCCTAGGACTGTACTTCCCATCATTTGAAATTATCAGGCATGCTGGCTCGGGCTGATGGGAGCTGTAGTCCAGAACATCTAAGGGTAGCTCCTTAGAAAAGGTCTCCAGCTTCTTGGCTCACATAAGCATGTAACAGCTTGAATTCTCTGCCCTTGTGGGAAATGTAGCCAAATGGGACATAACTGTTATGTCTTAGTGAACCACTGCTATGCTTAAAAGTGACACAGGTTGAAGTCAAAGTTCTGTGAATGGTACAATGATATGCGGTGCTTCGTTGACCCGTAGAAGTCATCATGTTATGTGGCAGATTCTTTTTGCTTATTTTTCTGTTTGTTTGTCTTATGAATATCCTTCACACTTATGGATAACAGAGCGGTGACAAATGAAATCAAGAAAGTAGCACTGAAAATACATCACGGTGGCAAAACAAAGGAAACTGCTATATTTCAAATCCCATTATACCATTTAGGTATTTTGAATATAGCAATTAATGATAAGCTATCATGTGATATTAAGTTAAAGAAAGACAGAATCAGCCAATTAAAATGATTGAACAAATGGCGCTGATGGTAGTAGTATTGCAGTGTTTGTACATAGAGGATGAGTGAGTGCTAGCTGCTTTTTGGGCCCTCCTTGGCTAGCCTGCTGCTCTCCAGTGCTGGATAGCTTAGTGGCTTAAGTTGTTGGGTGCAGAGCAACAGGTTGGGAGTTCAATTCCCCCTGTGCTTCCTTGACGGGGCCTGGACTCGATGATTCATAGGATCCCTTCCAGCTCTGCAGTTCAAAGATTATCATTATAAATATGGTGGAGGAGCCCATCCAGTTGGCACTATTGAATTACCATAGATGCCATTGCATCCTTTGGACAATGCCAGTGCACATCATAGAATAGTGAAGTTTGGGAGGGGCTTATAAGGCTACCAAGTCCAACCACTTGCTCAATGCAGTAATACAAATTGGTTGTCTTAAGTTTCTCTTTAATGCCTCCAGTGTTGGAGCACTCACCATCCCTCAAGGTAATTGGTTCCACTGTCATACTGCTCTAACAGTTAAGAAGTTTTTCCTGATATTCAACTGAAATCTGGCAAAGAGCCACAAGTCCCTACATCTATCTAGAGGGTGCTACCTCTACTCCTCATTCTCTTCTCATGAATGTAATTTATTGCATCATAGGGTCTGCAGATGATGAAAGGATAATGAGATTCCTGGAACTGACTGGGCTGGTAAGTAATTACGGAATGAGATAAATATTTCATTTCCCCCAGTTTGGGGAGTGAAATTGCTGTAAATTTGGCTTTGCAGCTGCATACATTACCAGCCCGGACTGGTTTTGCTGGCGAGGGGGGAGTAAATTGCCATTTCAGGAGACCTCCAGGAGTAGTGATTCACATTTTAAATAACTCAGATGTAGCCATCTACAGAGTCTTAAAAATACCTGTTTTTCAAAACTGGAAGTGGTCTACTAGCCACTTGTATTCTTACTTTTTCTGTTTTTAAAGATCTGTATAAATGATTCTAGGGACAGAAATTGGCCCTCAGACAGCTACAATTGCCCACCCCTGCTATAGAAGGTCACAAAGGAGCTATTAATGTCAGTGGCCACTTCCTAAAGAGAGATAACGAGTCTGCCTAAAAGTCTCACTGCCCTGCCAGCTATTCCAAACATGCAGGACAGAGATGAATGTAGCTCAAATCATGGACTTTCTTGCATTCCAGTGACTTGGTAATTGCATTTTAAAATGATCCCAAGCCTGAATTCTGGCTTAAAGTTGACTTTGGTTGAATATACATATCAAAAAAGACAACACATGGTGAGAAGAAAGAAGGGGAAACTCATGATGCGAAAGAACATGCACGAATTAGCCAGATGACAAGAATGACATTATGTCAAAGGATGAGGCTAGATCAAAGCAGGAAGGAGAAACATGTCTTTCTGCCTGTGTCTCCCTTAGCAAGGACTGTTGACTGCGGCTGGAATAGGTTCTGGTGTTCATCTGTGTTGTTTCTGTGTTTCTGTGTTTGATGCAGTCAGACTTGTTAGCAAGGACAGGAGGCTTGGACAAGCCAGTGGACTGGAACTGGTAAGATTGCTTCCTGTTAACTGGGCAGTGGGGCTCATGGTCTGGTTAGATGTGGAGCTGCAGCTGGTCTGCAAGATGGTTCTGCGCACCGCTTATTCTGTTTCCCACCTTTGCTGCAGGTATGATATTCTCTCTCCAGGTGAGATGCAGAGGCTGTCCTTTGCCCGGCTGTTCTATCTCCAGCCCCAGTATGCAGGTGAGAAAAAGAATCTAGGTAGAAAGGAACACGGCTAAGGCTCCTACGTAAGGGTACACCTGTGACTATGTGTATTTTTGAGGGACAAATCTAGGTTGTAATTCACACAGCAGTAGCTATAACTGATTTGGCAGTCTACTGATATTGGAAGGGCTAAACTATGCAAGGGCCTGTGGGCACTCTTGGTTTAGCTGATCTACGGATGTGACAAGTACTCACAATTTTTATCATCCTCTGCGGTCTTCCATGTCTTGCTACATTGAAACTCCCTTCTGAGCCATCACCTTGCATCAGTGAATTTCTTGTTTTCCTTTTTGTTCTTCTTTTAATTTTTACCCATTGTTTTGCTTGGAAAATGGCCAGATTCTGCACAGTTTAATGCTATTTCCAGTTAATCCTGCACAGAAAATATACCATTGTGTGCAGGACTTGTAGTAATCTTGAGTAATGTGTCATTTCTTCCTGGAAAACAAAATGATTGCATTGCTTCTGAGAAACCTCACAAGATTTCTCTGAATCCCCTCATTGGGGAGAGAAGCTCTCACAAAGAAAGACTGGGTTTTTCGTATCTGTTTCTCTCTAAGAGTAAGAGTTTGTGAGATTCACACCCTAAAGGTTGTTGATCACCTTGGATGAGTTGCTTTTTGTAAGAGTGCTAGGCAAAATCAAAACAAACAAACAGTAAAATAAAAAAGACAAAAATGTTGTGGCAGCTTAAAGATTAGCTGCTATATTTTAATATGAGCTTTTGGGAACAAGCCCACTTTTTTCTGAGACAAGATATTCCTGTTAACTAACAGGCTCTAAAGCACTTTACTGAGGGAGGCTAAACTATGTTGTCTGGCATTTTTTATGAAGCCAGGTTGTGTTTATTACTGTTGAAGAAGTTTTACCCACTTTGAGTTCTGCTGATTTTTTTCTGCTGATGTGTTTTCATTCAGCAAGTGGTACTTCCAAAGGTGGTGGAATTAAAAGAAATCCTCGTTTCAGAGATCTTTCAAACTCTAATGTTTATAGGAAAGAATAGAAACCATCTCCCTGGATTGATTGTTTATTAAATCCGTGACTGGCTGGCAATTTTTGCTGGCTCGGAGGCAAAGACTTTCTCAAAGTGGTTTGGCAATGTTAGGAGTATTCAAGTAAGAGCTGTTTTTGGACTGCATCTCCCAGAATTCCTCATGCCACATTTGGCTACTGAGAATTGTAAGTCAAAACAGTAGTTTTCCAAGCTCTGGTTCAAATAACTTTTAAATTAAAACAACTGAGGAACCAACTTCGTATTTGCAGGAGGAAAAAAACGACCGTGTTGACTATCTTGCAACAGGATTTCTGTTTTTGCTTGCAGTGCTGGATGAAGCCACAAGTGCACTGACAGAGGAGACAGAGAGTGAACTGTACAGGATTTGCATCCAGCTGGGGATGACTTTGATTAGCGTGGGACATCGCAGCAGTCTGGAAAAGGTAGGAAAGAGTGGTGGCAGGATTGGTCTCTCCAAGCAGAACTGCAGGAGCAAAGAGGCTGTTTTGTAGCAGAGTTTCTTTCTCTGGAACTTTTTCAGATAACTGTGGCTAAAGTTAGTTTGAACTTTACTATTGCATTTCAGTTTCACAGTTGGATTTTGATGCTATGTGGAGACGGAAAATGGGAGCTAACAAGAATCAAGAAAGACTAAACTGCTGATCACAAACAACAACAAAAATGCAGTCAAAGCCACAAACGGCTTCTGTTACCAGAGTGCCATGAAGCAGCAACACACTTTAAAGGAGTCATCTGGTGAAGGATTTTGAACCTCACCAACAAGAACCAGCAAAACTTCTTTCTGAACCAAAAGCCTTCAGTATAAAGAATAGGTATGTGTGTGGGAGCTGGAAGAGGGAAAGGTAACTTCTCATTACTTTTTATAAATTACCTCCAAACCATTATTTCTCCTACTCAAAAGTGTCAGCAAGAGATGAGGAACAAAACTCTCCCTCTTCCATCTTTGTATCTTACTCTAAAGGAGAATAACATTGCATGGCATTGAAATGTGGCACCAGAGAACTGGATGTGGCACAGATTCTTCTCATCTTGGCCTGTGTCACCTGTATTTTGTTTCATTTCAACTTCTTCATCTGAGCAGGAACCTCTATATGGAAAAGGCTGTCTTTCTGCTGAGCTCAGGACTGAGTCTGTTCTTAGTTATTAACAAATGGGTAAATTATTTCACCACTACAAATGTGTATTCATTGTATTTAGACGTTCACTAGAAGTGAGGAAAAAGGAGGCAAACTTTTTTTAAAAGGCAAGGTTGCTTACTTCTAGTGAATTTCTAGAATGATACAAATTAAGCAGAGGAGTCTGTTAGAGGTGAAGAATAGAAGAATAGATCATGCAAGCATTCATTAAGAAGCCAAAAAGTCCTGGATAGTACCTTGTCTTACATACCATGGCAATGTCCTGCCTTTAGATGTTTAATTTGCACAGAGAGACAACAGCCCTCTCAGCTGCAGTCCTATGAAAACTTTGCAAGGCTGCAGTTTATGTGATAGGTATGGAAACAGGTTTTCATATCTGCAGCTGATACAGATGTTGATGGAAGAGTTCAGATGAACCTCTTGGAGAGAGATGAGGAAACATGTTTCTCTCAGAAGCAGGTGAGGTCATCTGCCCATAGCTGCTATGACATGGAGCTTCCTAGCAGAGAATCTGTGATTATACACAAAGACAAAATATTTGGGGTGTGTATAGATTATTTTCCTACATTTTTGGGGTGGGGGAGCATGTTTGTAGTTCCATTGTGTTAGAATTAAACAGAAGGAGCGGTCAGGGAAACAGATTTGAAAATGTATTCTGTATTTTTTGAAAGTCCAGAATCCATACGAGGACACGATAAGGCTTTCAATACTCAACAGGCAAAATAACCCTGTTTTGTATATAGTGTTCCTCTTCTATCCGTTTGTAATTCCTCTTCCTTTCTCCTTTAAAAACCATCCTCAAAGCTTCAGGTGGAGAGATCTGAAAGTTTTTCTCCAAATTTGGAATAAAGTGCTACATTCATCTTGATCTTACCCAAAGGACTATCAGAAGCTTCTTGTTCTATGGCTGAGATTAAGCCACGCGCAAAATAGACAACTCTCTGTTCAAATGGGAAGTTTTTTTTTGTTATTTGTCATTTTCTTTATTGGTAAAAGCTATAAAAAGTAGCTTCTAAACTTTGTGTTATAATACATTAGACTTGGAACACACACACTGTCACCTGGGCATGGTTTCAAAACGAAAGCAATCTACTGTCCAATATTAAGCAGTAAACGTTTTTCCTGTTTGCTTCAACAATTACCTATCCACTTCACCTTCCCGTTTGGAAATATGATTTTGGTGGTTGCTCCAGAAGCTTCTCATGTACAGATAACACTTTCTTTTGTCATCTGTAATGATTAAAGCAGGGACAGGATATGTGCAGCCTGTAAAAAAATGGAGATCGGGATCATGGGAGGAGCCGTCTGTGATCTAAAGATGGGTATGTGTGTCCCCATTCCACTCTACCCCTGGACTAAGGACTGCTGGATAGCTCAGTGGTTAAGATATCTGGCTGCAGAGCCAGAGGTTGGAAGTTCGTTTCCCCACTGTGCCTTCTTGACAGGGGCTGGACTTGGTGATCCTTCCAGCTCTGCAGTTCTAAGATGATGATGATGATGATGAATATAGGGAGGGCTGTTGCTTAGAAAATTAGCATGATTCTTTCCTGGCTTCTGTATACCAGTTGATGGGGAAGGTGAGATGACAATACAGTTGTATTGTGTGGACTTCCCTAAGGCAGCTAATTGCCCACTTTGGGAGCGGAAATAGGTGGTTCTTTCCTCTGCTGTACCAAGGCTCTTTTTCATATGTCCTTAAAATATTTCGCCTGCCATTGCCAACCTATGAAGCTAGGAAGCACTTGGGCTACCGGCCTTGCCCTTTCTCCAGAATTTGCTTGTGCCCCTGAATGATCTCTTTCACTGTCTCGCGGTCATCCAAGGTTGTCAGATCTCCAAGCTCATCTGCTTTGTTTTCAACAATCTTCTTCAACACCCGCCGCATAATCTTTCCTGAACGGGTCTTAGGCAGATGCCGAGCTACCTGATGCAGAAAATGAAAGGAAAAGTCAGACTGGGAAACTTATGTCAACAAAGTGAACTTAAAAAATAGTGAATACAGTAGGACTCCCATATCTGCTGGGGATAGGTTCCATGCCCCCCTATGAATATGGAAAACCATGGTTGATAATGAATGCTCAATATACAGCATGATAAATGGAAAAAGACAAGAAAAATATTTTCACGTGCATTACCAGAACTGGCCACTAGAGGGTGAGAGGGACCATGCTATGCAGCCTTCACTAACAAGTATTCATAACATGGTCTCTGGCTTTATCTGGTGGTCTGTTATGGTAATACATGTGAAAACAGTTTTTTCTGGATTTAAAAAAATTATTTTTAATATTTTCAGACTATGGATAAGTGAAACTGTGGATACCAATCTCGTGCATTTGTGGTTGTCCTCTGTGTATCAGTTCAGTCTCTACATAGGTTTTCCATGCATATACGAAACACAACACCATTTTTCCCGAATTTCATGGGGTGGTAGTGGGCATCACCACATCCTGTGGCAAGGAGTTCCACAGACTAACAACACGCAGGGTAAAGAAATATTTTCTTTTGTCTGTTCTCACTCTCCCAACACTCAATTTGAGTGGATGTCCCCTGGTTCTGGTATTGTGTGAGAGGGAAAAGAGCTTCCTTCTATGTACTTTATCCATCCCCTGCATAATTTAGGAATAATAAGTTAGGAAGAATTTCCTAACAGTGAGAACCATCCAGTAATGGAATTGACTGCCTCCAGAGGTATTGGGCTGTCCTTTGCTGGAGACTTTTAAGCAGAGGTTGGATGGCTAACTGTCAGGGATGCTTTAGCTGTGAAATTCCAGCATGGGCATGAATGATAACCCTTGGGGTCCCTTCCAAATCTGAAGTTTTATGATGCTAGGAAAAACTATAAGATTTAAATTGGAATAACTCTAAATAAGTGAAGCTGCACCATATCATATGATTATAAGCTCCAGCACTACAGAGGTTCGAGAGCAGCCGTACCCAACCTGGTGTCTTCTGGATGTTTTGGACTGCTGTTCTCATGATCCTTCACCATGTTAGCTGGGGCTAGTAGGTGTCATCCAACACAATTGGAGGTCACCAGGTTGGTAAAGGCTGAAAAAACTCATCTTCCAAGAAGGCTTTTGATAAAGTAGTGTTGAAACTGCCCTAAGTAATGCTTATGTATCTGAATATTGCGGATAGATATTTTTGTTGAAATTAAATTGAAAAAGTTTTCTGCAAGCATACTTGATGCATTTTGCATCAAGTATGCTTGATGCAAAAGGCATCAAGGACCTTTTGCATCAAGTATGCTTCATGCAAAAGGCATCAGAGGACTCTGAGAGCAGCTGTCTAGCATATATTTCCCCAGGCTGGAGAAAGCTGTTTTAAAATGCCCTGGATGTATTTCCTGTTAACTAATGCTTACTAAGGGCACTCTTTGGACTGTTAAAAATGTATGGTCTTGAAAAAAGTGGTTTTGTATTTGTATTTTTATTCTGATACTGTTTTATTCTATTATAGACACATGCTTCATATTTTGTATCTATTAATATGAACCCACTCACTTTTTTAAAAAAATTAATAAAACATTTCACAAACAATATAAATAGATTCCTGTGTCTCTGAGTCAATTGCTAATGAGAGTGGAAGGACCTGAATACTTTAGTTCCTTGTCCATATATAGCAACTCATAATGCAGCATTGGTCGGAGCCCTTTCTGCCTTGTTTTCTGCTAGCAACTCAGCCAGAAAGCTAGTGCTCACTGATGGTTGTATGGAAAAAAGTGCTGAGAAGGTGCAGAGGACAAAAATAAGTTACAGATGGTTACCTGAATGTATTCTGGTGCCGCATATTTTGCAATCTCTTTTGAGACAAGCTCCCGAAGCTCAGAAGCCAGGCTCTCTTGGGAGAGGTTGAAACCCTCCTTCAGCACAACGAATGCATAGGCACCTGTGGGAAGGAGAAGCCAGGCAGAGCAGCCTCAGGAAATGTGGAAGGGCAGATTAAAGGAGAGCATGTTACTAACACCTGTCAGAATCCCTTGTTACTTCAGTACATTAGAAACTGAGAGCCCCTTCTGATACTGCAGTCGTACAGAGCGTAGAGACCTGTTTTAAAAAATTGTTATGAACCTTGTTACACAAATAATTGTTACTGTTAATGTCCCTTCCCCTACCTGCTTTTGTTTTTAACTTTTTTTAAAAAAAACAACCCTTTGATTTGCAAGAGAGGACGGCATAACATCTGAAATAAATGGCTTCAAATGCCCTGAAAATGTGTAGCCTGCATAATTTAATTGTACACTGCCCACCTTTAAGCACTATGGCGTAGTATGTAAGCAGCACACTTTTGAAAACATAACAAGATGTTAAAAATCCACTTCGGAAAATAGTAACGTCCCTTCCACTTATTAATTACATTACTTTTGGAATGCAGCCTTATTACATCCCTGTTGTAAAAAAAAATCCATTACAGGCAGCTATAATTTTTGACATGTTATTGCCAGGCTCTGCTTCTGAACTACAGGACCTTGCCGATGTAGCAGAGGCAATGTCAGTCTCCAGCTCACATGATGGAAGCCCATGTGGTGGCTTCTACCTGCACAAGCACTCTTGCAGGGGAGGCTGTATGCCATAATCTGGAATTTGTCCCATCTGGCCCGAGACTTATGCCATTGCCCTCATGACCTGAGAGAAGAATCTTCATGACCCAAACATGCTTTACCTGGAAAATAAGTCTCATTATCTCAGTAGACGTTACTTGGTGGTGTAAAAACATTTACACTTATGCGACAAAAATCAGGTTACCAAACCATGTAATTTTTTTATAATGAGCTGCTGCTTATGGACAGAAGAGGGGGACTGCATCGTGTCTCTTCTCTCCAACCAGTCCTTGATGACAGCAGTTGCTGTTGTTACACGCTGTCCAGTCACTTCCAATTTAATGTTGCTGCCATTACATTTTATGATATTTGTAAGCCGCCTCAAGTAGATGCTGTCTAGGGGGGGGCGGGGTAGAAATCTAATAAATAAATAAATTATGAGCCCCACTCAGCTCTTGCAAGCTCAAAGCTGTAGTTTCCATTATGGGATAAAATTATCCAGCTTTTCTAGAATCTGAGTCTGATGGAGAGAGTCATCTTCAAAACCAAAGGACAAACTATTAAGCCTTTCCCAGCGTTATTGTTTTTTTCAGTGACACTTGTCTTCTCATCCTGTGCTCAAAGTACAGTGCAATTACTAATTGTCTTCTGCAGCGTCTCACGTGAATGGGTCCCTTTCCAAGGAGGCAGCACAGAGACAGTGAGCGAGCAAAACCTCTGCTGGAAATCCCTGACCATGCAATGCAATTCCCAGCGAAGGAGAGACCATTTTTTAAAAAATGCTGCACCAGCAGGTAGACTGCATGGCTCACCTTCTCCTTTGAGCTTGTGAGGATATCCAATCACAGCTGACTCTGCCACAGCCTGATGCTTATTCTGAAAGACAAACAGGCCTACATTTTACCTCAAGGATTCTGGCACAATGGCAGGAGCCAAATCTGACTTTATTCCCAATTCAAAAAGAAGAGGAAAATCTGATGGTTAAGCATTTTTATACCATTTATGTCGCAACTTAAAAATAGTAGTAGTAGAAGTGGACCACACAGTGCTATTATGGTTTATATACTATAAGACAGAACTGTATAGTAACATTCCATGTTACTAATAGGCCAAAAATATTACTTGGCGGAAGATGGCAAAGCAGGATAGGAGCACTATTTTGCTATAGTTCTGGGCCTTTGACAGGCTGTATGTAGAAGGTGGCCCTAAGGGCTTACTGCTAAATTCCTGGCCTTTATCGGAACTGACACATTCTGGAGGGGGGGGGGACACTGCATCTACACTTGCTATTTTTTAAGTCAACATAATACTAGGTTTTCAAATAGCACCTCTATGTACTTTGTGAGATAATACTTTTAGGAAACCAGTGTTGGCCAGTTGGGAATATACTCTCTGCTGTCCCCCATTGTTGTATCATCTCTTTTGAATGAGTTCAAGGCGTTTCTTTACACACACACACACCCTGCACTGCAGCACCGTACTCTCTGGCCTCTGCAAGCAAAACATGCTTGTGGTGTTTGCTCAGGTCATGAATATTCATATGCTATTCATAGGCCAATAGGAGTGCTGAAGGGGCGGAGTCACGAGGTATAAGAGACTCAGCAGGACGAGGAGGAGTTTAGATAGAGATAGGGTTTTGATATGGAGAATTAGAGAAATGAGAGAGTCTTGGAGTTTTGGCGGGAGAATGGTGGTTGAGGGTGGATAAAGAAGAATGTTTGTTTAGGAGTGAACAACATTGCTTGTTCTGTCAACACCTATATCAAGAAACAATTTCTATTTGGTTATTTTAAAATGGCATATGGCCTGGACATCTATCATTAATGTTGATGAAATCAACTGGTGGCAGCTGAGGGGCACGTAGCGTGAGCTTATTGGTTTGGTGAAAGAAACGGGCCACGTGGAATCATGACAATGCTATATTAGTTGACTCATCTTAGTAGGGAGAAAGACAGAAAATGCAGTTATTCAGTAATGCAAACAAATGTATTACATACACTTAGAGGCACTTCTGATTAAAGATCTTCCATTCCCATTTTACTGACTGAACTTTGTAGCCTGCTATTGTTGTGTTTCAATTTTTCACCAGCTCAGTACATTTTAATTGAAATTTCTTTCTTTATTTATATCAGAGCACTGCACAATTTAAAATTATACTGTAGGCCTATATGAAATATAGGTAAAATTAAAAACAAATTAAGATGTTAATTTTTGCTATTTTTGAGCAGAAGCGGGATAACACTGTTTCAGTAGCATTATCTTGACAAATATTCTGTGACTGGAGAAATTAAATAAATGCAGCACTTAGGTGCATGCCATTTATGCCCCACTACATTTACAAAAGAAGATTTGACTGGAATAAAGACATCATTCTTAAATGTTTCAAGTCAGGCAGGTGGTGCCAAAGGCAAGAGAGATGCAGATCCAGCAACAACCCATAATTCAGCAGATTCTTGGGTCTGTTTTTCGTGGCAACATTTTGCAACCTGGTATTTTCCAGATGCTGCAGACAAAAAATCCTACCATTCATAGATAGCAATTTAGTCATAGGATTTGTAGTCCAAGGCATCTGGAAAGTGCCATGTTGGGGAAACATCTTCCCCCACGGCATTCAGTTTTGCCACCCCTTTGCACGGGCACTGCAGGGGGGCAGGAAGTCTGTCTTCGCGGGGGGTGGGAGGTCTGTCTTCGCGGCCCGATCCAGCTGAGGCCACGGACTGGCACCGGGCTGCAGACCAGGGGTTGACGACTTCTGATTTAGATTACAAAAAAGAGCCAAGAGTAAGCAACAAAATGCCTCTAGAGCAATGGGATCAATCACAGTAACCAATGCCATTTTTCCCCTAAGGGTTTTGCTTGAAACTAATAATGTTAATTTAATTAAATACTTAATTAGATACTTTATCCACTACTGTTAATCTACACTAAAGTAGGTGTTCAGAGCCACTAACTAAAATCTTAACCAATTAGGCCTTTTGGAGTAACATTCCATGGTATGGGCTCTGCAGAGACTATCAAACAAGAGCCAGTTCTGCGATGTCCACTGAGCTCTACCTAGAGTTCCCTGGCCTCTTACCACAACATCTTCAATCTCAGCAGTGCCCAGCCGGTGCCCACTGACATTGATAACATCATCAAGGCGGCCTGTCAATTGATAATATCCTTTACTGGACCGGTATGCTCCATCCCCAGTGAAATAATATCCTAGAACATTAAAACAAGATACAAGTCAAACTTCCGTGTTTTAAGTGAGTTTCTTCTAGAGAACATCAAAGCTCCACCGAGAGAAGATGGGGGGGGGGGGAAACACCAGATTTTTTGCTTTCCAGTGTGTGTAGCCACAGAGGACTTCTGGAAGTGTTTTATCTTCTCCTTCTCACAAGAGGATAGTGAGGTTCCTAAAAGTAGGGTAAGATCTTGTTGTCACAAATAGATCAATCTGTGTCTGAAGTACACTATTTCAAACTGTATTTGGTATGTTTCCTCCATGATGGGTGGGGGGAGATAGTCACATAGAGAGCTAAAATCTTGGGAGTGATTCTTGATTTCTCCTCCATGACAGCTAGTTGTCTATGTCTGTGCATCTATTTTACTTATCTTTGTACTGTATATGCAGAATCATTCTCCCCCCCCCATGGATACTTTGCACTTTTGAAAACACACATGTTAAATATGCACTAGAATTGGCTGATTAAAGCACTGGTTCTTAACCTTGGGTTACTCAGGAGTTTTGGACTGCAACTCCCAGAAGCCTTCACCACCAGCTGTCCTGACTGGGGTTTCTGGGAGTTGCAGTTCAAAAACATCCGAGTAACAAAGGTTAAGAACCACTGGATTAAAGCAATGGGAATTCGGCCAATATATGAGACGTCTCCACATTATTTGAGTGAGTCAGCTATGCAGTCAAAAACTGAGAGCTAAGCTCAATAAAACAACATCATACAAAAGCAATTGCAGCGATTGTTTCTTAAAATCAAATAGCAGACATGAGGTCCCTGATCCAGACTCAGAATTAGGTGGAAGACAGAGAGTTAAAGTTCCTACCCACACAATCTTGACCTGGAACCCACTTACCTGCTTCCCACTGGTTACTTGAAAATAAGTGCTCCTATTGGTGCAGATGAACATGTTCTTTTTCAACTAGGTATTAGGGGGTGGGATAATATGGACTGGGAGCATAACAGGAAGCAAAACATTGATCTGATTATCACTTATCCTGACTCCATGCCTGTAAGTAAGACCGGGACTCTTTCATCCACTATTCACTTTTCTTTTTTTAAAAAAATCATGTACAGTAATTACTAATTGCATCTTTTGCCACCACAGCTTGTTTTGCTATGACTGCAAGTAACTGCCTCCAAGTCTTTTCCTTTGTTTTACAAGGCCTTGTATGCATAATTCCAGAAGACAGCATCCTGCCTTCAAATTCAAATCCATGTCAATAATGATCCAATGTTGTCATTCCCCCTTTCCTTCTCCACAAATCTGTACCTGGATAAGGTTTCATGTAGACCTCCACGAATCTCTGATGGTCATTGTAAATAGTTCTTGCCATACCTGGCCAGGCCTGAGCAATGCAGAGAGCTCCAGAGACATCATTCTGTGTTAAGACAATCCCCTATAAAAAAAAGTCATGGTACAATTACTACAGGTAGAAGGTAACTTGCAGCTCAATCAAGTGCATCTTTCAAAGTTCACTGGACCCTTACTCTAAAGCCTTAGGCACATGGTCTGACCTAGAGAAGACTCGTGCTATCAATGGTTGAATGGTGAGTGAATTCCCCTGTAAATCTCATTGATTCAATGCGCCCAGCCTAAGTGGAACTAACAACTGAGTCCAGGCCATGATATTCCTACTGTTCCCAGCTCCTATAGGCCTTGGCTAAATTCCCAGCAAGAAACCCTTAGTGTTCAGATCTTGTTCGATATTGTAATGAACTGGTGAGTTGTTAAACTTGTAATTTTATCCTTTGCCTAACGGTCTCTCATTATACAGTCATTTGATTTACATAAGCAAGGATCCCTGTCCAATTCCAGTTTCCTGCTTTTTTGACACTACCATCACCTTCCATTTCCCCTTTGGGCTGGGGACAGATGACCATTTTTTACAGAGAGTTGATGGTGTTTCGAAATAGAAGACACTGTTCATGATATGTTTTCTTATTTCACTTCTGTCTCTATGCAACACGTTTTTCAGGTTTTTGTAGTGCTTCAAAAACATGCAAAATGTCTTTTGACCAGTAGATGTCTATGTACAGAGGCCTTCCAGGAGGCCATTCCAGGCATAAGAGGCAGCAGGTGGAAATGTAGAGTCATTTTACTTCTACTATTGATCTCCATTTTGACCATTCATGTGAGTTGGAAAGCTGGTTGGATTGACTAGTGGTTAAGGAGCTGATTGCATTGCGAGAGTTTGGGAGTTCAATTCCCCACTGTGACTCCTGGGAGAGGAACTAGCCTGGGTGGCCTCCAGCAAGCTGCACAGACCCAGGGTGTCCCCAGAAGAGGGGAAAGGGAAACCATTTCTGAGTACTCTCTACCTGGAAAACCCTGAAAAGGGTCACCAGAAGTCAGAATTGACTTGACAGCATATGATGATGATGATGATGATGATGATGATTGATTGATTGATTGATTGATTGATTGATTGATTGATTGAGGTGAAAAATGAATTATAAAATCCTCAGATCAATAGTCTTTATTATGGTGACTGGCCAGCAGATATATTTAAATAGTGTATCAGAATCAGATCAATAGTCAGATAACAGACAAATAAATCTATACTTTGTCATCCAGAAGGGAAGGTCTGATGCCAAAGAAAGGTCTCATGGCCATGGCTGGAAGGATCTCTTCTCCCGGATTTGAAGGACGAGGAGCAATGCAGATGCCCCCGGTTTCTAAATAAGAGAAGACAAAACTCTGATAACCTTTGAAATCCATCCAATAAGAGAATGCTAATGGAAAACCTCTCTCCTTTATGTGATTTCAAGTATTCTATATGGAAAAGAAAATACTTTTGGTTTGGTTTTTTGAGTACTTTATATTAATAGTTTCACTGACAAGGGGTGAGCAAGTGATGGGGATGGACACTCCCAATATCTCTGGCCATAGGCTATGGCTGTTGGTAGGTGCTTTTGATGCACTCTATGCTGCAGGATGTCCAGCATTTGCTTTTGAACCTCATGACAATACTGAGTGCCTCTTAGCCTCTAAAGCACCATGCATGCAAATCTCTAAATCAGCATCATCTTTATTTATAGTCAACAGAGTGTTACTTCAGTGATTGACTGTCAGGGTCCTGGGGCAAAGTATTCACAAACGATTCAAAAGATCTCTAGATCAAATTAAGACTGAGCTCTAGAACCAAAAATGACTAGACTGAAGCCATCTTATTTTAGACACTAAAAAGACAACAAGGCTAGGAGAAGTTGAAGGCTGCAGGAAAAGAGGAACATCAAACCTGAGCTGGATTGACTCAACAAAGGAAGCCATGCTTTTGGCTTGCCAAATCTGAGCAGAGCTGATAGGACCTTTTAGAGGCCATTAATTTATAGGGTCTCCTTAACATAGAAGTGCCTTGATGGCACAAAACAGTGTAGATCTTTGTGCATAAGTTATTAAACCTAATTCAAAGAATGATACAAGTGAAAAGTGTTTGCCTGAAGTAAATCAACGTGCAGTCTCCCTACCTGTTTGCCACCATGTGTCAACTACTGGGCACCGTCCATCTCCAACTACATTAAAGTACCAGTCCCAGGCTTCTGTGTCGATCGGTTCTCCCACTGCAGAAGGAAGCGTTGGGCGGTGGGAGTGAGACAAGCAGTCTGTAAGAATGTCTCGAGCCTTAAAGCTCATTTGACATATCAGACTATGTCAGACATCTGCCTCCTTGGCTTTTTGAATAGTCTAATGTATCAGAAGTTCTCAACTTTGAATATCTTACCTCCCACTAATCACTCTCTCAAAGCACCTGGGGCTCACCATGACAGAAAGAAAACACCCACTTTTCTCAAGAAGGACAATGTATATTTACACGCATGATGCTGCTGTATTTCTCATTTATGGGATGCAAATGCAGGGGAATGAGGATTAGGCAGAGCTGTAACATCGTGAGGCAACTGAGGCTTTGACCTAGGCTGTAAAAATTTAAGAGGTGCAAACATTTTCCGTTGTAAAGCTGTGAACCTACCTGGCCCATGTGTATCTGCTGCTTCCTGTTAAATGTGCTGAGAGCTTGTACACCGTGGTTCAGGTGTAGTATAAAAAAAACAAGCTAATTTTCCCTGGCAGATAGAAACATAGAACAGACCAGCTCAGAGCAGAACCAATATCGCCGTTGTGTACTAAGACCCAGGTGCTCTTCCCTATTTATCCAGTCCAATGTGACCAAAGCTTAACTACCGGATAGCTCAGTGGTTTAGGTGTCTGGCTGCAGAGCCAGAGGTTGGGAACTTGATTCTCCACTGTGCCTCCTTCCTATAGGCTGGACTCAAATGATCCAGATGGTCCCTTTGAGGTCTGCAGTTCTAAGATTATAAGATTAACCGATAAGGAAGTAAAAGCCTAGGTTGCCAACATTGCTACCCTGTTTCCCCACAAATAAGACCTAACCTGAAAATAAGCCTTAGTATGATTTCTCAGGATGCTCATAATAAAAGCCCTACCCCAAAAATAAGCCCCAGTTAAGTGAAACCCTGCCCTCCACCCTTGGGCAGCCACCAGAAGAAGAGGACAGGACTGTATTTGAATAAATGTACAGTAGATGGTTGTCCATGAAATATATATATATGAAATATGATATATATATATATATATAATACGAGTTTTGGAGCAAAAAGTAATAGAAGACCCTGTCTTATTTTTGGGGAAATACGGTAGTTACAGCTCTGGAATCAGGGGAACAAGTGTCCACAGGTAGGGTTGGTAGGAGACACCACACTTGTAGGAGGACATAGGCGTTGAAGGAGAGTGAATTCTTGATCATTGTTAATGAAAATGCTGTATCCCACATAATTCCTTCTGTGTCCTGTCAGTGACACATTGACTCCAGATTACAAATCACTTCTCTATAGCAGTGTGGCTGCAGTAATCCACCATGCTACCTTCTGAGAAATGTTGGTCTAAACCTATAAATACATTTTTATAAGGACATGTCCTTACATACCATTAATTAATACAGTGTCAAAGGCCTACTTGGTCAGATCATTACCCACCTGATCCAAGGATTTTGAGAGAAGATCTGTCGTATTTCTTTACCCAGCCTTCCCCGTAACTCAGCAGTAGACGAATAGCTGTAGGCGCTCCATAGAACTGATTTATCTTTAACCTTTCCACAGTTTCCCAGTAACGCCCTGAAATTAGAATCAAATTCAGCCATTTTAATCCTAATGGCAAATTAGATATATCCTGGTTCGCGTTTTCAACAGCTGCCTCTTTCCCACCACCACCCTCATTACTCTGATTATGTGTAGCCCATGAGTCCTGGGCTCCACATTTGGCTTAAACAAGAATAAAATACTTAGTGTCAAGGTCAATATTATTGTTGATGCAATTCATCAATCAACTCTGTTGACTGAACCAGTTCTTGTCAATGTTTTTTACTCAGTGCTTCATGCTTATAAATCCTAGTACATGAAATTATATTTGTAATTATTTCAACCATTTTGTGGATATTACCAGTTGCACAGTATATAAACATTTAAAATAAAGTAAAATTAAGATGATGTTGTGTGTAATAGAGAGAGATTGAGAGAGAGAGAGAGAGAGAGAGAGAGAGAGAGAGAGGAGTGTGTTTACCTGGATTAGGGTATGTTGGACTGCTCTCAAACAAGACTGTAGTTCCCCCATTGCACAAAGGTCCATATACTACATAACTGTGTCCTGTGATCCAACCGATGTCTGCAACGCAGCCAAAAACATCTCCATCATGGTAGTCAAACACATACTGCAGGAAAGTGGGTAATAAGAGATGGAAACAATGGGTTGACATAACAACTCTTGGGTAGAAGCCATCTCTTGTCCATGTGTTTCTGCTACTCAAAAATGTGCTAATATTCACAGCAGCCTTCTGTACTCTAGCAGCTTCTATATGTGCCAGATAGCAATCTCTGTCTTCTCATCAGCATGGGCAATGGATGTGCAAACTGAAGATGATGGGGCTTGTAGTCCAAAGCATATGGGGGACCTCAAGTTGGAGAAAGTCACAATTTTTTCTTCCTCCAACCAGAATATATTTACGACAAAATCACCACTAAACTTATCATCAATTTGTAAGATGTAGCCGGCACGCCTGTTCAGTGAAGGGAAAGACAACCATCATTTTTGTCTGAAGTCGTGCTGTGAATACACCTCCCACTTTATACTGCTTATCATACAAAATATTGTTTGTTTATTTGTTTTTAAAGTATTTCTCTTTAAAAGGACCCAAGGTGGTTTAGATCATTAAGGGCAATATAAATATATGATCAAGAAAAAGAAGAAAGGAAGAAAGGACACTTGAACTGATAATGCTGGCAATGGTTAAAGAGATCCCTTAATGTTCATGGAAAAAAAAGAAACAATCTTGACCAATCACTTCTAATAAGATATAAACAGATGGCAACCAGTATGGTGTAGTGGATAGACTGTTGTATTAGCATGCAGAAGATATGGGTTCAGATTCTTGCTCAGCCATGGAAATTTACTGATAGGTACCAATGGTAAGCCAAACTCTGGGAGGCAGTGGAAGACAGGAGGGCCTGGCGTGCTCGGGTCCATGGGGTCACGAAGAGTCGGACATGACTTAAAGACTAAACAACAATAACCAATGGTAAACCCTCCTAAAACATCTCACATGTTTTGAAAATCCTGCTGGGGTCATTTATTGAGTCAGAAGCAACTTGATGGCACATAATTACAGCAACGGAGATAAAGACCACTTTGCAAAGTTTGCCACGGCAATCTTCCTGAACAGAATAGTGATACTGTATAATCAGAGTCAGTTCTCTAGCCCTTGTGGTTTGGCTTTCTACCACTGCTGTGGATCAAAATGAGTTCAACAGCAATAACCACTGGACTGCACAACTGATTCATCTGGAAACAAATAAGTTTTTATTACGCCCATCTTGGTTTTTTTTTCCACTTTTTGCTTGAGTTTCCAGCAGTGCATTCTCTAATGCAGTGGTGCCGAACTGTGGCCCTCCAGATGTTCTTGGACTTCAACTCCCAGAAGCCTTCACCACCACCTCTGCTGGCCAGGATTTCTGGGAGTTGAAGGCCAAGAACATCTGGAGGGCCACAGTTCGACACCACTGCTCTAATGTATTACTAAAGTTCCTTGGCTCTTGCTTCTGCAGCTGTTCCTGAAAATAAGACTCCATACTACACTCTCTCCTCACTCCACTTTCAGAGCTGATTACTGGAATTATGTTAGCAATGTCCTCCTTCTAGTGTGTTTGCATTGGAAACTTGCCACTCTTTCAGCTGTTTCCTTTCGAAGGCAACACTTTTCCTAGCTGAGAGAAGAGGGCAAAATATATTCCAGACTGCCTTGTGGTGTCCCAAGGCACCTGGAACTAACAGTTGAATGTGGAAGGTCTGTGATATGCGTCTTTATATTTGTTATTTATTTTATTTGCAGACTCAGGAACTGCAAATTTGATTACACCTGCTTTACTAGAGGACAGAATGCTTAATTATTTCCATGAGCCAATTTTGCAGAACTGAGAAATGTTACTCCTTTGGATGAGCACTCAGAGTTGGCTGGTGGATTTTGGGAGTTCTCATCCCAAATGTAATTTTCCCAAGATCTGCTTTTTTCTTTTTTGCTATCCAGACTCAGCTTTTTTCTCACTTTAAAAGATTTATACATACATACATACATACATACATACATACATACATACATACATACATACATACATACATACATACATACATACATACGATTGGAAGGGACTTGTTATGATTGCAAGAAAGGATTAAGTAGTCACTTCCACCAACACAGATCCTGAAATCATAGCTGTACAAGCTTTCAGTTCCATTTTTTAAAAAAGACACACAATGACTGCCAAAAGAAAGATCAAGGTCTTGCAAGATCAAGAATAATATGGTGTCATGTGTTAGATTTCTGTTTACTTCTACGGTGCCCTGTATGCTTGAAAAGGGAGTACTGCATATGTCTTTCAGCAATTGCTTCTTCTCTTTGTGTGGTCTTCTGAAATTCTACTGGCAGTGAACAAACTGCACGTTACAGAACAAGGGCCATGAAGGAAAAGTTGCCCCCATCCTGTACAGTTGATTCTAATGTGAAGTAAAATAGTCCTCCCCAATCTGATCCCTACAGATGTGGCTGAGCTACAAATCCCATCATCCTCTGACAGCATTTCTCCTTCAAACATAGTGGAACCTATTTCAGAGTAAACATGCAAAGTATGGGGTTATTTATAATGTTTTGCTTTTCATAGGTAATTTTCATTCTAGCAAGCTTTGGTGAGGCAGGGAAACCTCTTTTCTTTCTTGGCTAAGCTTCCTGAGCAATTCCGGAAGATGTAGTCCCAAAAAGTAACTTTTCCAAGCCCTATACCTGGCTTTCAGTCTGTTACACCTTTACTGGTTCTTATAGTTTTGAACAGCAAGACCCCCCCCCCTTTTAAGGAAGAACAAATGATAACCAACAACTCCTTGAAGTTTAGTAGAAGTGTTGATGGAAATATCACATGGCAGATAAACAGAGTTTTAACTGTGAATTTAACTGTGGAGTTGCTCAATATCTCAGTTGTGTGTATGTGTGCGCTTTCTTCACCTTGTGTGTAACTGCAGCATACAGCAAATAGCCGGCCTGGGTGTGGACCAGTCCTTTGGGTTGCCCAGTGCTTCCTGATGTGTAGAGCAGAAAAAGTAAGTCTTCACTCTCCAAGGCAACAGGCTCACAAACTGCATCCTCTTTCATCATCTCCTGTCACAGGAAGCAGAGAATCTCTCTTAGTAGGCTGTCTTCAGCCCCCAGCTCTCCTGTTGCTCCCCCTGTACCAAAGGCCAAATGAATAATACAGTTTTAATAGAACAGTGTCCACCATTCTCTATCCCATGTGTTCATTTTGAGGGTGATTCTCATATGGGACAAGGCGGGGGGAGGATTACTTCCCCATCAACCATGATCTATGGAAAATCCTTTCCATGATGCTGTTATATATATATTTTTTACACATTTACATAATGTCCATATTAAATCACTGTAATATACTTCCCATAACATTTGTCTCTTTATTTTGTTTGTAGAAGTTAGTCTACTTTTCCTTAAGGCAAAAGATGCCTTTGTAGGTTAAGTGCTTTTAATTAGAGAATACTTGGTGGAGGAATTATTAAAGGCCACTGAGGACGCTTCTATGTGGAACAATAGTTCCACCTCCTTTTTTGCTGACTGGTGCCATATGAGTGCAAGGTGTATTGAAATTTGCACCCAAACCTATATTTGAAGACCCACTTCTCTTCAGAAACTCAATATATTTTAAAGAAATATTTCAGGCATCTTAGAGAAATGTTTTTAAAGAAAACTTTTCTGTGGAGTCCTTTTTTGTATGCTTTTTAGTTTTGAAAGCTTCCAAACAGGAGCCTCTCATTGCAGGAATCCACTGCAAATCTACTTCTGTTGTCATTAATAAATCAACATCTCTTTAAGAAACTTTAATAAATGAACTTCTCTACTGAATTTGTTTTGTTTTTGAGTGCTCAGCTAGCTTTTGTTTAGTTTCTCTATGCTGATCTAATAGCAACTGAAAGCTTCCAATCAAGAAGCTCTCACCATGGACATTTAGCAAAAACCTCTATTCTCTTTCAAATCTTTTTTTAATAAAAAATCTTGATGACATCTTGCAGACATGTTTAAAAAAAATCAGCTTCTCTGCTGAACATTGGGAAGGTTGTTTTTGAGCGGCAGTTTAATGCTAATTGATAGGTTCCAATTGGCAAGCTCCTGCTGCCTAAATTCTACTCTCAATACTAAGCATTTTTTAAAGTTGTTAATTAGTTTTAAAGGGTGCAAAAAGTAATGGGGAAAAAGCACAAAACAAATCAAGATAAGAACATCATATCAATGGCAGGAAAAAATACCAATAACAATAGTTTCTACTCTACCACAAACAAACAACAACAAAAAAGAGTTGTGTTAACCCTGGCAGAAGTGCAGAGTCACAGTGCAGAGTCCATGGCTACATAAACTGTGCTTACATTGTTTTTTTTATCTCCTGGTGAATATCTGACACATGGCAAGATCCAGATATAAATGCATGCAGTTAGTAGCCCTTCTGTTGCACAAAAATGTTTACTCGGGAGGTTGAAGGCTGTAAATGAAAGGAGTTATAGTATGGAGGAGAATCCTTAAACATCAGGTGAAGACCTCTTCTCAGAGAAGAGCCTCCAACAGAATGCAAGAGGTTATTTGTGGAAAACGAATTCCATATGAAGGGTGCTGATTTCTTTTCCCTAGGAAAAGGGACAAAGTTCTCACCTCTTCTAGTGGGATATCCAGTCCTGACATGGGAACTTTGTAATCTGTTCTCTCTGAAACAAAAACTCGTTTCACCGTCGGACACAGTTTCACAGCCTGGTCCACCATCTGCTTCAGGTTAATAACCTTGCCGCCTCGCACGCCTTGGTTTACTGTGATCACTGTTTCAGCTTGAGCTGGACAAGGTAAAAAAGAATAAATGGCATAGGATTCAGGACCAGTAGGTTATTTCCTCTAGTTTGTTTGCCCTCAGTGCACAGGGGAAGTTTCATTTCAGAGCCACAGGATCCCAGTCCTAATCCAAACTGGACTTGGAATACGTAGCTCAAAATGCATCGAGCTGCGGGTTGGACTTGATGGCCTTATAGGCCCCTTACAACGTCACTATTGTATGATTCTATGAAAATACTTGAAACCTCCCTCTTCCATGCCATAATGTTCCCAATTCAGACCACATCGCTGGTATTTGCTTCTTCCTGTTAATGTACATGATAATGACAGGAATAGCAATTTCTCGAGTTTTGTTTTTCTCTGGGCTTGCAGGCCATTAGCACAGAAAGAAGAATATGAGGAAATAAATTCTTAGTTTTGATCTTAGGACTTATCAGGAGAAGAAAAGGTGTGTTAATGGGTATAAGTGTTTAGGGATTATCCACTTTAGGTGTTGCCGGGTAGGGCTTTCTTCTAGAGCAGTGGTCAGAGAACAGGGGTAAATTACCCCAAATGGGATAAAAATGAAAATCCTGGGGGTAATGAGGATGTGACCCTAACCCCCTTCCCTCCTCCTCCTCCTCCTCTGCCCAGAGGGGGGTCCCCGGCTGCCCGATTGCCCCCTTCCCACTCCCTTCCCCAGCCCATCTGCAACCAAGCCATGGCGGATGGTGGCTGGCAATGGGCCCAGGTTGGCAGCATATGGCAACCGAGGCGGTGGCGGTAGGGCCGGCCATGGTGGAGGGTGAGGTCGGGGGGAGTGATCCGAGCGCCCCAGCCAGGAACCTCTCCTTCCAGTGCCTGGAGAGGTGGATCGTGGAGGAGGGGGCAGTCGCAGCCATGACAGAGGCCCAGACCAGGCTCAGCCTCCCTGCTCTGGGACGCCACCACTGCCCCATGCCCCGTTCCCATTCCCAGAGGAGCCTGTTGGATGGCAGCGGCGCTTGCCTGGCCGTGCGGCCTTCAGCGGCACCTCTATGCCGGCCAGCCGAGCCTGGCAGAGCCTCTAGCTCTCCCTGTGTCAGCTGTTGTGGTGCTTCAACGGCAAGGCCCACAGGAGCCCTGACACCAAGGCCCAATGCGGCCGCCCCCACGAGCAGCAGCCAGAGCCGGTGCTGGAGCGGGAGGCGGCATTGGGTGCCCCTGGTGGGTGAGCCACCTGCTGTTCTTCGACGGCCGCCCAGGAGCCGCCCGCTGGCAGAGGAAGGGAGCTGCCCTCGTGAGGCCAAAGACTGAGTGCGGCACCACCAGGTGGAAGAGGAGGAGACAGTTGCATCCCAGGCGCAGGTGGTGAGGCAGCGGCGGTGCTTGACTGGCTGCGTGTGACCGAGATTCTTCCTTTCAAATCAAGGGAATAATGTTGGCATATATAAATGTTTTAGGGGGTAAAAGATAAGAAAGTTCCCTGACCCCTGTTCTAGAGAAAGTAGTGGGATTTTATACGAGTTCAGAGGATGATATATTCCATTGTATTTTTTCTGTGTTTTTGAGCACGCTCTTCTGTCTTTATTTCTTATCATGGAAGAACAAATGGTAAGGAAGAGAAGCTGAGAAAGCTTTTTGATTTGAAGCACTATGGGCCAGCCCTTTGGAAACAGCCCTTTTCTTAGTCAAGCCATTTAACGGTGTCCTTAAATTATTCAGCATCTACTGTTCTGCCTACAAGAGGTGCCATCTGAAGCTAAAAAGGTTGTCCCAGAAGTTATAATTCCAAAATGTTATTTTTGGCAACACTGGGAGAGTACCCCAATATATTAAAAACTACTGCTGGAGAAATTTTCATGGCCAAAAAGCTTGTGCATATTATTATTGTATGTTCAGTTGACCACTAAGCTTGAACGTGACATGTTCTGAAAGGAAGCTGAAGGAAGGGACACTCATAGCCTACTGAGAAAGTGGCTCTTACCATCTTGGATCCTGTTGGCCAGTGCCACAGAACTGAATCCAGCAAATACCACTGTGTGTACAGCTCCAATTCGGGCACAAGCCAACATACTTGCCACAGCCATGGGACATGGGGGCATGTAGATACTGACTCTGTCACCCTTCTTCACTCCCTGTCGCTTTAAGGTATTCCCAAGGCGGCATGTCATCTCCAGCAGTTCTCTGTCCAAAGAAAACACATGTAGTTGTCAAACACTCTTGTTTCATTATTCCACTAGTCTCACAATAAAAGAGAACTACTGAATATGTTTCTAAACACCAACATTCATCTCATTGCCTCTTGGCCTTTAAACAGATGAAAAAGAGGTGGGGGAGAGGAAGAAGAAGAAATTTACCCCGAGGCCTGGAAAGATAATCCCAGTTAGGTTTCATATTAGTGAGTTAGACAGATAATTTATCTGACTTGGGATAGAGTAACACTTTACAGACTGATATTAAAGTTCAGATACTTTTCCTGTTTAGAAGACAGAGGACAATATCATAACTTGGAGATCAATATCAATAAAACATATTTTATGCATGACAATGTTGAAATGCATGAGAGTTTGTACACAGTGTGTTCAAGCATAGCATAAAAAAACCACAGAGCATGAATGGTATTGTGCCTTGTCTGTGCCAGTAGTTGAAAATAAATTTCACATAATCTTGGTGAAAACTTTAAGAACATTTCTTGTAAACACATATTTAGAAAAAACTAACAGTATTTGAAACATTTGGACTAGTTACAGATTTGTCTTGACAGACTTATAATGGTTTCGTATTATCTTTTTTAACAGACAGGCCTGTTATCAGATCAACAGACAATTATACAAATATATAGCATTGTGGTAGATTCACTAGTTGAAAAATAACCATTCATACACTTTTTAAAAGTAAACAAGTGGGCAGCTCCCACTTCCCTGTATGGTTGAGCAAAAAGTTAATTAACAACCTGTATGTAATTCGCTCCTCTTGCCCAGGCTCATCTTTCTCCCAGATGAGGGCCACTTTATTTGGGGCTTGATGGACATGTCGATCCAAGCAGTTGACTGAAAGAGAAAACAATTCTTATCATTTGTATGCATGTAAAGCTTTGCTTGTTTATTTTAACCTTTGTTGAATCAATGTGGATGGCCTAGTTTCAAGCTAGAGTAAAAGCTGTGGCAAACGAAGAGGAAAGGTTATTATTGCATGGTGGATGTTACCATGCTGTTAGAAGAAACTGGACATAGGCCTATCAAGCATATTAATTCTGGTGTTCCTCTTTAGAAAAGTTCAAACATGCTGACTATAGAGCCCAAACAACTGACTGAACAAAAATATATATTTATTCAATTTAAGTGTTACAACATCCTTAAAGCAAAAATAACAATATAGAAATTTCTGAAGCAAAAATGGTCAATAATCTGAGGGTCCTTCAAAAGCTAACAAATTTTGTTATGGCTATTGTCTACTTCATGAGACACATGTAACATTATCTCAAGGGGAAGTTACTGAGTTCAAAGATTATTAAATCACAAGGTGGATGGGCTGTATGCAAGTCAGAGAGAATTGAAATGTAAAAAACTACCAGCATGTGCTTACCTTAACAGCTTGCATTCATAGCATAGTTGCTGGGTCAAAACACAATGTAATAAATAGGGCTACCCTTCCAGAAAATATATGAAGGCTTTCAGCCCATATATATTCTCAATACCTGAAATCCCATTGCTTAGTGTAGTCGAGTCACACAACACTAGGCTCATTGAATCAGTGGGGATTTGATGAGTCACCTCCACCACAAGTTCCATTGATTCAAATGAATCTACTCTAATAACCCACTATAAATATATAAAAATAAAAAATTCCATACTTTTATATTTGCTGGGTTTTTAAAATGATATAAACCGCCCTAAAATATTTATTTTATAAGAAAACCGAGAATAAATTCCTCCCACACCCTAGACTGTCAAATAAATTAACAATTAACAGGGCAGTACTGTAGGAATGGGAGAGCGACATAGGAAAGAAATTGGGGGAACGTCTGTCACTATCATGTCCATTTCCAGTACAGTCACCCTTGTTTCTTTTGAACTTCTGGGCTAGCACTCTTTCTAGGGAGCGTGAACAGCACCTTTCTCATTTTATGCTGGCAGTAGTAAAAGAAGTGCCTCAGCAAGTGTGAGAAGTCTTATTAACTGTTGTGCTGACCTCAAGTACAAAGATTAGATTATGGAAAAGGTCACCCTCACAGAAGTTCTTACTTTCTATTACTAAAAGTCATGGCAAAGATTTTCTACACACAATGCAGGGTAGTTTAGCAATTAAGAGGCTCTCAGACTGTGCCTTTTGATGCACAGAGATTAGGCCCATCCAAGACACCTTCATGTCTAAGGCAAAGGAAGATGACAGCCAATCTCCATTTCATTGTACCAATAGAAGGACTTTGTTATTGTTACAGGCTGTCAAATCAGCTTTGACTTATGGCAACTCTATGAAATGCCTTGTCTTCAAATGCCCTGCTCAGCATTTCTAAACTCAAACCTGTACCTTCCTTTAGAGAGTCAATCCATTTCATATTTGATTTTCCTCTTTTCCTGCTGATTTCACCTTTCCTAGTATTATTGTCTTTTCCAGAAAATCTGGCCTTCTCATTATGTACCCAAAATAGGCCAGCTACAGTTTCATTATTTCTGCCTCCAGAGATAGTTCAGGCTTGATCTGATCTAGAACCCACTTGGCAGTCCAAGGTACCTGCAAAGTTCTCCTTCAGTTCCATATTTCAAATGAATTAAAATGAATTTCTCCTGTCAGCTTTTTTTACTGTCCGGCTTTGACACCTATACATGGTGATCTGGGATACATGAGTGTAGATTAACTTGCTCTTCATCTCCAATGACACATCCTTGCACATGATGAACTTCTCTAATTACTGTCCTTCCTAGTCTCAGCCTTTTTCTGATTTCTGGGCTGGAGTCTCCATTTGGATTGATGATTGAACCAACATATACAAAAATCTTTCACTATTTAAATTTCTTCATTGTCAACGTTAAAGTTGTGTATACATAATCTTAGAATTGTAGAGCTGGAAAAGATTCTATGGATCATTGATTTCAGCCTCTGTCAAAGAGGCACAGTGGGGAGTCAAACTCCTAACTTTTGTCTCTGCAGTCACATAACTAAACCACTGAGCTATCCACCAGTTAGTTCTCTGTAATCATGATTTTTTGTCTTTTTAGTGTTCAACTGCAGTCCTGCTTTGGCAGTTTCTTCTTTCACTTTCACTAAAAGTCGCTTAAAATTATTGCTGCTTTCTACCAGTAAGATTGTATCATCTGCATATCTCAAATTACTGATGTTTCTTCCACCAATGTTCACTATTTCATCTGAATCTGTATGATATGTTCTGAATACAGATTGAACAGAGAAGGGAATAAAATGCACACTTGTCTAATAACTTTACCTTTATAGGAAACTATTCTGTGTCTCCATATTCCATCCTAACAGTAGCTTCTTGTCCACAATAGAAGTTACAAATCAGGACAATCAAGTGCTGTAGTATGTTGTTGTTGTTCAGTCGTTAAGTCGTGTCTGACTCTTCGTGACCCAGTAGTATACCCATTTCTTTCAAAACATCAATTTCTTTCTCATGATCTACACATTCAAAGCCTTTACTGTAATCTATAAAGCATAGCCTAATTTTCTGAAATTCTTTGATGCTCTCCAGCAGCTTAGATATTTGCAATATGATCTCAAATGCCACTTCCTTTTTAACATCCTGCTTGGACATCAGGCATTTCTTGTTTCATTTAAAATATAAGCCTTTGCTGCAACATTTTAAGCATTGTTTTGCTTGTATGGGAAATTAAACCAATGATCCTATCCTTACTGCACTCCTTGGCATCTCCTTTCTTGAGGATTGGAATGCGTATTGAACATTGCCAGTCTATGGGCCATCGTTTTGTTTTCCATATTTGCTGGAATACTATTATTCGGATTTTGACAGATGAAGTCTCTGTGGCGTAAAATAGTTCCATTGGTATTTAATTTGCCCCTAGTGATTTTTTTCTTCCTAGTGCTTTCAGAGCAGTGTTCACTTCAATTTCTAGAGTTGTAGATTCTTTGTTAGAGGAGCCTATCATCCTTTTATTTTATTTTTTCTGTATACATCTTCAATATACTGTTTCTGCCTTTTCTTTATTTTCTCCTGGTCAAATAGTGTGCCTTCATATTGGCCATTCAACACTCCTAATTCAGCTTAAATTCCCCTTTGATTTCTTGGATCTTCTAGAATATATCTCTTCTTTTCCCCTTTTCTGTTGTTCTCTATTTCTTTGCACTGGTTATTGTAATGCCATGTTTCCCTGAAAATAAGACAGGGTCTTAGATTAATTTTTGCTCCAAAAATGCATTGGGGCTTATTTTCAGGAGATTTTTTTTCAATGTACAACAAAATTTAAATACTGTCATGTCATCTTCTTCTGCTTGCTTCACAATGGTGGAGGGTGTGGTTTCACTTAACTGGGGCTTGTTTTTGGGAGTAGGGCTTATATTACAAGCATCCTGAAAAACCATACTAGGGTTTATTTTCAGGTTAGGTCTTATTTTCAGGAAAACAGAGTAGTTATTTTTGTCTCCCTGCAATAGTAACTGAAAAACTGCATTTGGTGTGACCAAGGTTTTCTTTTTGTCTGTTGTTTACAATTTAATGTTTTCCTTCCATCCCCCATCTAGGTTTGTCTATTCTTTTTACTACAGGATTTGTCTTTGTAATCTTCCCTAATAATATCTCTGGTTTCAATCCACAGTTCTTCAGGTTCATGGTGACTTCCTTAAGGGACTTATTAGGCAGCTAGGCCCAGCTTTACATTGGAAAGTACCAATGTGAAAAAATACCTTCTGGTGTCTTTGCCCGATTCTAGATTTCAGTGGTGCAGACCGATATCATTTATAAATTTTGCTCTCATCCCAGCTCCCCTCCCTTGGGAAAGCCATAGCAACCCCAATCAGATCCTCTCTGCTTCCACTACCCTTGGTGCCAGATTGCCTTTCAGTTTAATTTCTCAAGAAATCACTCCAGAATGCCTGAGAAATAGGTTTCATTTTGACATCTTCCTCTAGCAAGCAGAAATCTAGCCTTTTGCTTTCCAATCTAATGGAGCTCCAAATATTAGAAATTATTAGTACAGATACTAGGAACTATCAAATTTGAATTCTGATCTATTCAGAATTATCTGAATATGGCATTATTTGATAAATTCCAAATATTTCCAAAAAACTGAGGCAGGATTCTCCGGGAAAGATGATAATGCTAGGAAAGGTAGAAGGCAGGAGGAAAAGAGGAAGGCTGTATATGAGATGGACCGATTCCCTAAAAGAAGTCACAGAGTTTACAAGAGCTGAACAGGGCTGTTGAAAACAGGGCATTTAGGGATTGGCTCATTCATAGGGTCGCCACCAGTCAGAGGTGACCTGAAGGCATATAGCAACAAGAATACATGGTAAAAGACCAAGATGGGTTGATTAAATTCAGGCTTATTTTCCATATCAAAACTGTTGATAAATCTGTTCTTTTAAAGGGGGGGGGCACTGAGTTAAAGAGAGGAGTAAAAGAGTAGTCCTGTCATTGGAATGCAGCTCCCAGCAGCCCTACTAGCCAACATAATGAGTAGTGAAGAACATCCAGCTGCAGTTAAAGGGCTCAAATTTGGTCACACCTTCACTAGCATATTACTAGTAATATTTATTTGTTTATTCATTACATTGATACCCTGCCCTCCCACTAAAATATAGAACTCAAGGTGGCTTACAAAGTTTTTAGAAGAAAAAAAAACAGATAATAATAATCTCAGAAATCACACCATTAAAGCTACAAAAAAAACAGCAATACAAAAAAGCTACAGCTACAGAAAACAGCAGTGTAAGGACGATCACAAATTCTGCGCTGATGTTTAACAGATACTTAAGTTTTTGGTTAAAATTTGTATCTGTTTTACAATACTAGTCAATGTTTTTATAATTTTGACTGTGCCTGGTGTTTCTGCATTGTTATTGTTACGGTGGTGGTGCTGGTGACTCTTTTCACATTTTTCCATATAATATAAACCCATCTCACTGTAAAACCATAAAAATCAGCATAATGCTTTAAAAAAGATTAAAATTGGAAAGGATACAGATTTAACATGCTAATCCAGAATGTGCATGAGATTTTGTGATTAGACAAGGAGAAATGAATGCCTCGGGCACCTGATTCTGAAACTTATGAAAAGGCAAAGGCAGCCAACTGTTAAGAAGATGACGGTGATCATGATAATGATTTACTTCCAATGTGAAAAAATGCTGGGGATTTATCATATGTCCCCTTTTTACAGTGCTGGGCCAAAACTAACCAGACAGAAGTATCATGTTTGCTTATTCATGTATCTGCCACATTCAGATATAAGTGGAAAATGAGTATTTACATAATACAAAGGGGTAAGTGCAGGGAGGGGTTGTGTGGCCCAACCATCAAGTTATATCCAGGTTATTGGGACCCTATTACACTTCACTGGTTTAATTGAAGATATTGAACAAGTGGTTTTACTGGTGGCAAACCCTACCATTGGTTGAGCTTCCATAACCAGGGAAGGATATGAGTCTTTTGAGTCTTGGCTACACGGCTCATTTGGAGTTGGCTTGTGTGGGACAAATAAGGTAACTTAAGAGAAAAGATCCAGTATGCCATGTGGTGCAATCTTTCCATCCACATGGCATATGTGCTTCAAGTGACCCTATTGGTCTACCTCCTTAAAAGCAAAGAACAGCCACATTCACCTCTCAAACGGACTCGTTTCTCATGTTCAGAGGCTACTAGGAAAGATCAGAACATTAATTCTCTTGGCTATTAAACACATGAGATTTTATTTTGAATGATAAATGAGTGAGAATGAAAAGAATCCAGCCTCAGAGTACCCAGGGTGCAAGATTACACCACCAGCACCAGCTAGAAAAGGCAAAAATAATAATAATAACAGCTTTCTTCTTATCACTTACCTGCTACATTCAGCTCCCCTCCAACGAACCAGGATATGTGGCCCTGCTGTAGGTCACAGTCACTAACGGAATGAAAAGGGTTGATCCATGTAAGTCGGCTTCTTGCTAGCACTCCCCAAAATGCATCAGTTTGCTCCACAGACACCTGATACAGTCCTTGGTGGTCTCTTGGTCCAGGAAAAGCTGCAGCTTCAGGCATATAGGCAGTCAAGGGTCCCCGGCTCCACGTTCTGGCTTTACAAGAAAACTGACCTCCTGGGACAATTTTGGGGAAGCAAGTTCTAGCGAGCAGCCAGGCCATACTTCTGTAGTACAAGACAGCTCTTTATCTCTAACTCAAGGCGCTTTTTGTATTGCATAAAAGTCTGGGTGGGGTGGGGGAAATGCTGTTGTTCCCTTTGCACTTCAAGATGTGGGCTCATAATATGGCCCCACCATCAAAATGCATATCTGTATTCAGATTGAGAGCATACTAGAAGCCCTTGCTAGTGCTTGGATAGGACTCCTCTTTCAGGAAAATAAAAGGAAGAGAAATTCAATCCTTTCCAAGGGAGGAAGGGGTGGGATTTAGATCGCTGTGCAGAAGCCGGATTTGGCTGACATTGGTATGCCAAGCCACATCGTGTGCAGACTGTACTGTTCCGCCTCTCTTTCTTCCTATGAATTCTTTTTTTCCCCTCTCCTACGCAGAAGCTCACAAAACTATTTCTGTTTTCTGCAGCTGGTGTGGACTTTACAAGGAAAAATTAATCTATGCCTGAAATATGATATTCAGTGGAGCAGGGTGTGCATAAATAGCTACATGTTGGTTCATAACACAGGGCAGAGGACATGGGTTCGCTTCCTGCACTTGCTTTTCCAGCACATTCAATGTTTACAGTAGTAGTTTTGTTAGTCCATACAGGTAGGTCCTGTGATACAGCAGTTTTTGTACTGTCACAACACAAGATAAATCCTTCAAAGTTTATCTGAGTTTTTTCAGTAACAAAAGCATTAATAAAGTCGGTTTGCCTTCTCCCTCCCAAAATCACCTGAAATGTGTTGAGTAGTCTTTCGGAGATACATAATCACTGGATAAGAGTTTGGAAAAGTTATTTGGACTAACATTCCAAGAATTCCCTAGCCGGCATAACCACTGGCTCGGTGAACTGCCACTAGTTCAGTTTGACAACTCCTATGAGAAGATCCCTCTCACAGAGTTAAAAGTTGCAAATACTGGTCCACGAGTGACCCCAGCTGGCTGGAATAAAGCAGGCATTCCCAAACTTCAGCTGAAATCTTGTCCGTATCACTTTATGTCGTGCAGGTCAGATGGTGGCTAGCCCTGAGATTTGAGTCTCCCCCTGTAGACTCAAAGAAGTGAAGCAATTCTCTGAGAATCCAGCCAGTCCCTTGAGACCAAGCAACCACTATTATTCGCCTGAAGTTGTACAGTACTGCCTCTTTGAGAGGAAACTCAGAAAGCCTCAGAGCAAAAGACTGAGTGGGAGGAAAAGGAGGGAAATTTTTCAATTTTGAACAGAAACTAGAAGCCTTTGGCATTGTGTGACCTCCTCAGAAGTCAGGATATTCATGGGCCTGTTCTGTTAAGTTACTTTTAAAAAACTAATATTTTGTTTGTGTTCCTGGAAATAGATGTCTGTGTGCAGTTCTGTTTTTGGTACTCGTGGGACGGAGCTATTCAAGTCTCTTCACTCACCTGCTATAAATAGTAAGACGATGGGAGCAGCCGCGGATGACAGTGGTTACAACTGTGTCTCCCAATGATGCCAATGCATGTTTTCCTTAATACTGTACAGAGTTTTATCCCTCAGGTGGTACTACTGTTCTTCTTCATCCCAAATATTTTCCTCTGTCAGAAATTCCACACCACACAATCTATCTTTAATGAGGTTCACTGTTGTTACATGCCAGGAAACTGCATCTGAATCATGGTCATCCTAAAAGGGCTTTAAAGGCATGTGAGGTATTTAAGGAAGAGTTTTATCAGCGCCATCCCAAGAGTTTCCATGGCCATGGTGATTTGAACCCAGGTTTGCACAGTCCTAGACTATCAATCTGTACACAAAACTACCCCTCTTCTCTAATGGTGTTGAAAGGCACCTATAAGGCCATCAAGTCCAACCTCCTGCTCAATGCTGGAATCCAAATCAGAGTATATCTGACAGATGGCTGTCTAATTTTCTCTTGAATGCCTCCAGCATTGGAGAACTCACCACTTCCTGAGGTAATTGGTTCCATTGTCATACTGCTCTAACCATTATGAAGTTTTTCCTGATATTCAACCAAAATCTGTCTTCTTGCAACTTGAGGCTATTATTATGAGTCCTGCACTCTTGGATGATCAAGAACAGATTCTGCCCCTCCTCTGTGTGTCAATCTTTAAAGTATTTGAAAAGTGCTATCATATCTCCGCTTAGTCTTCTTTTTTCAAGGCTAGATATACCTAGTTCTTTCAGTCTTTCTTCATACAGCTTGAATCAGTCCCTGATCATCGTTGTTGCCCTCCTCCAAACATTTTCCAATTTGTTGGCATCCTTCTTAATGTACAGTGTCCAGAACTGGACACAGTACTCAAAATGAGGCCTAACTGGCACTGAATACTGTAGTAGGGAACTAGTACTTCCTCAGATTTGGAGACTTCTGTTAACCCACCCTAAAATAGCCTTGGGGCTATTTGGGGGGGGGCAGGTGTATCACACTGTTGGCTCATATTCAGCTTATTGTCGTCGTTGTCGTTTAGCCGTTTAGTCGTGTCCGACTCTTCGTGACCCCATGGACCAGAGCACGCCAAGCCCTCCTATCCTCCACTGCCTCCCGTATTCAGCTTATAATCTACAACAATTCTGAGATTCTTTTTTACTTGTAGTATTACTGACCATCCCTCATCTTATAACTGTGTTTCCCCCCCCCCAGGTAGAACTTCGCATTTATCCCTGTTAAATTCCATTCTGTTGTTTTCAGTGCTTGAGCCTATTCATATCTTTTTGAATTTTGTTTGTCTTCCAGGGTACAGTATTCACTATTCCACTCAATCTGGTGTCATCTGCACATCTGATAGGCAGTCCCTGCAGCCTTCCTCACCCAAGTCACTAATAAAAATATTGAAGAGCACCAGACTCAGGACTGAGCCTTCTAGTGTGCCTCTTGTTATCTCCTCCCAGTTTGAGGAGGAGCCATTGATAACCATTCTCTGAGTATGATTCTGTAACCAACTGTGCATCCACTGACAGTTGTTCTATCCAGCCTACACCTAGTTAACTTGCTAGTCATTACTCTTCTTCCAATTAACCAGCAATTCATCTGTCCTCTGTAATTTCAAGAAAACAATTGATAGCGGTTCTGAGGGTTCTTCAGCCACTCCCTTCAGTATTCTTGGATGCAGTTCATCTGGCCTTAGAGATTTGCCTATTAGACTTTGACTGTTTATCAATCCTGTTTGATTAGGTTCTGCTTTTTATAAAATCACAGAGCTGCAGTTCTGCTTTTTATAAAATCACAGAGCTGCAGTACTGGCACATTGGTAGATAAGTAGGTGGGTAGGGAACAAAGTGTGCTGCTTAAAGCACACTGGCGGTTTTCAAAATAATTATACAGGCTTCACACTGCCCCCCTCTGCCTTGAGCTGGGTACTCAATTTACCTACCTCAGAAGGATGGATGTAGGTAAAATCTGAAAAATTACTCTTGCCTAGTGCCCTATGAGAAATGGCTATGAAAGGAGAAAAACACAACTCATAAATGGAAGAAGAAAGACTTCAACAGAATTCTTGGTGTTAGCCAGATGTGCAGTTCAGACCACTGATGACGATCCAAAGGTTAATAGGTCATATCTGTATTATACTTTATTTAGCTCTCACTTACCTGGATTTGGGGACCTCTAGCCAATGAATGTGAACTCTTCATTATATTCAAAATGTTATAAAATGCTATCTATTTTAATGAGAATACTATTGTAAGGTATCAAATGTGGAAATGATTCCCCCCTTATCCTCTTCTTTGAGTAATAGCTGGAGATTTCTTTTTAAAGGAGGAAATATACCTGTAGGTTGTAGTGCTGTTTGAGAGAGTTCTTTGTGTATGGCAGAAAGATAACCAATCAGTTCTTCATAAGTGGGAACAGAGAGAGCTTGATTTTTAATTGTTTGAAGTACAGCATCCAAGGATGTAGTTATTCTTTGGAGATCTGCTAAAGCAGTGGTCCCCAACCTTGGGCCTCCAGATGTTCTTGGACTACAACTCCCAGAAGCCTTCACTACCACCTCTGCTGGCCAGGATTTCTGGGAATTGAAGTCCAAGAACATCTGGAGGCCCTAGGTTGTGGCCCACTGTGCTAATGGACAACAGTTACATTGCCTAGTTTAGAGTTCTGCTTGTATTATTTGTGAACAATGTACATTAAAAATACACTATTTGTCTCCACTGTTCTTTTACTCTTATTTAAATGAACCTAAACCCTGTGGTAGTGCTACCCCTAGGTTTCTCATGGCGCAGTAGTTAAACCGCTATACTCCAGCTAAAACTGCTCACGACCTGGGGTTCAATCCCAGGTAGCGGCTCAAGGTTGACTCAGCTTTCTATCCTTCCCAAGTCAGTAAAGTGAGTACCCAGCTTGCTGGGGTGGCAATGTGTAGCCTGCACAATTAATTTGTAAACCGCCCAGAGAGTGCTTGAAGCACTATGGGGTGGTATATAAGCAGCACGATTTGCTTTTTGCTTTTTAAGAGAGGAGAACTTGATAATATTACTATTATTAGGAAGAGGTGCTGCTGTTTTACAGATTGTAAAATCAAGTGGCAAATAAAGGAGATGTTATTTGTTGTCTCAAAGTTATCACATATTTTGGTTTTAGCTATGGTTTGCAATGTATGGAATATTGTTGTCTCAAAGTTATCACATATTTTGGCACTCAGATTGATTTTAGCTATGGTTTGCAATGTATGGAATGTTTCACCTGTATTCCACATTTGTACAGTACTTGCAAAGTATTCTTTACATGTCTGAGACAGAGATCATTGGATGATTTGAGAGTATCTATTCTTTAGCAAGCCTAGCAGATATCACCCAGATCACTGTTCTGGGATCTCCAAGAGCAGTTTATAAGTGGAAGGCTAAATCCAGTTTAGTCTTACTTAGAATAGAAGCATTGAAATTAATAAGACTTATTTATTACCAACTTGGCCCCATTCATTATATCCGGAATACTGGGTATAACTCTGTTATACAGTAAGTAAAAACTAACTTACTGTATTTTAATTAGATATTTTAAAACTTTGTTGCCAACCACATGAGACCCATGACACAGTAGTTAAACTGCAGTACTGTAGTCAAGCCTCTGCTCACGACCTGAGTTCAATCCTGATGGGGTCAGGTAACCAGGTCAAGGTAGATTCAGTTTTCCATCCTTCCTAGGTCAGTAAAATGAGTACCCACCCAGTTTGCTGGGGAGCAAAGTTGTTTGCACAAGTATGTTATAAACTGCGCAGAGAGTGTTCTATCACTATGGGGTAGAATATAACTTGAAAAAATAAGAATAGCAATCTTCTGTCCGGTTCTGAGGAAAAGGTGACTTATATACAAATAAATAGGTATTTTAAATTAATATGCAAGATATGTAAACACAACCTTATAAAACGCTGGACTGTGAAAGTAGTGGACATTAATAACTATTCCAAGGAGTTTTGCAAGAATTATCTTCATTATTTTTCACTATTCCCTGCTTGTCTTAGCAAATTTCCCTTCTATGTAGAATACAGACTCCTGGATTTGCGCAGTATGAACTGTACACATAATACATATATGCAAAAAAACCCCCTAGGACATCCATTTCCCATTCAGACCTTTTAGGTGCACTACAACATGGGGTCTGCCCATCTTTAGTTCTGTTTTATTCCGATTTATATCTTTACAGAAAATGGCACAAAAATCACAGGTTTCGAATAACTAGATGTTACAACTTTGTTTCTTAAACACCTCAAATACCAAATTTTCTCACTGTATGTACATTATATACACACCATGGGCTGTAATCTAACACGCCAAATAACAGGGGGACATAAGACGGGGATGATGAGGGCAAGAAAAACAAATCATAAACAAATAAAATAGCAAATTCAGGTAAAGGCAACTCTTCTTGCAAACAAGGACAGGAAAGGGAACATGGGGCTCTCTGTCCAGAGGCCTTCACAGAAGCATAGGAAAGCAATGCTACTATGGGACTGAGAGAATTTATTATGTCACCATCTGCATGAATATGTCAGTGTCAGTGAGTCATTGGTTGTGTGAATGCTCCCTTTTGCTCTTGGACATCAAACTGTCCGTAAGTGCATTAATTGTTTACATACATTGCTAAGAAAATTGTTAAGCTTCACATGACTAGGAAAGACAAAGCACGTACAAGTAACCTGCCCCACAGAGCCTGTTTCACACATGCATCCTTATAATTTGATGACTGCAGAACCACACCAGGATGGATTGTGCAGGTGTGAATAAGTCAAAGTGAACTGATGGAACTTACACATTGCCTGATGCTCAATATATTACAATGAAATCAGTTAACATGTCTATTTGAGGGTCAAATGCTAAGCTAAACAAAGATTCATAAAACAGAAGTTAAAAATGTATGTCTATCCCAGATGTGGTTATCAAGAGATTATTGTTATTCACTATTTACTTCCAGTTAATAACTATGAAATACTTCCCAGATTCTAGAGCACCTACCCAGATTTAATCTTTCCCAAGGTTCACTGGGCCAAAGCCATGATTCTGTTATTTGAATACCAGGTATAACTCTGGTATACAGTAAACATGCATGTTCATGTCCCTTGCCATCAACTAATCTTACCAGATTGTACACATCGAAGATTAGGATGAAAGGGCAGATCAGATAATATGAGTCCCAAAGAGCCATGGTACATCTCCATTCCCCTAAAATTTAAGTACTCCTTTCCCATTTCATAAAAATCCAGGGGTACCTTGAGAAAGAAATACCATTAAAATCAACACAGTGTTATATGAAACAATTTCCATATATTTTCCACTGAAGTAATCTGGGCTACAGAGGAAAATGATAAAACTACCTGAAGTCAGGATTTTGGGGTGCTGCAGTCTGGGTGCATATTGAACCAAATTCACTGCAGGGAAGATTCACATGATACTGTATGAATTGCCTGGACTGATTTTTCTGTCAAATTTGATATTGCAGAGAGGGAGAGACTCACTATGAGGTAGGGTTTCACTTGACCAATTTTTAATTATGGCCTGAAGTTTGGAGAAGAGAGTGGCTTTATTTTTTTGTTTTAAACTTTGTCCCAATGCTAGGCAATGAGCAGTTTAAAACATGTATATATTTACATTAATGAACATATAAATACTGTATAAAGAAAGGGCAATTCTTCTCTGGAAAAGCTGGCAACATGACTGAAACAAAGAGAAAGACTGTGACTATAAAGTACTGCAAGATGGCAGAAAAGGCTCCTGAGGGTAAGAATTGAACAACAGAAACTCCATGAGAGGGAAAGAGAGGAAAGACCCATTGGTTTAGTGGCTGGTGTTGAGAAAAAAGTCCTAGCTAGTTGTATTTTCCTGTTAGACTATGACTGTGATGATACATAAACCCTCACACCTACTTGAAATAGGGTGAGATGGTAGAGTGATAGTGCTCCTGAGGACACAGTTACAAAGAATCCGTCTCTAGATACACCCAGCAGAACATGGCCTTAGCCTGTGGCCTCTTGAAATGTACAGAGACCAAGTGGGGCCTTCCTCCTTGAGTGCAGGAGCCGCAGGAGGGACTCTGTCAATTTGAGAGAAGGCTGTAGCTCCTAGAGGAGTCAGTTTTTGAGAAGATGGATGATTTCCCATCATCCCCTTCTTTCTAAACCAGCTTCTCTTCATCTTGCGATAAATCTGATTTTTCCATTTGCCGTTCATCCTCTGCGGTGGCTGCCTCTTCCTCTTTCTCTGGCTTCCTGACTGGAATAGGAGGATCTCCAGGTATGGTTCCCAGGACTTTGGTGCTATGCTCCTGAGCTTTGGCCCTGAGAGCGGCAATGCTGTTCTCTCTCAGTTCCTCCTGGGAAATGGTTGTTTTGGAATCTGCACCTCTTTCTTCCTTGTCACTCTTGTCAAGCTTGGGCAGGGCCTGGCGTTCCACCTCCGGCTTCCTTCCTGCCTCAGCTGCTGCCTCCAGAGATTTTTTGTGCATCCCTAAAAAGAATTGTTGGTATTCGGGTTTAGAAAAGCGCCTGGGCATGGGAAAGCCATCTTGAACTGAAAACAGTAAAGATAAAGAGAGGCCAGAATTAAGGAAAAGCAGAAAGCCTTGCTTCAAACAGCAGTCACACAGAGAGGCCCACTGCATTGGGCCCTGCATGAAAGGGGAGCTCAGGCCAATTCTCTGACAAGAGACAGCCGGACCTAGCTGAGTAATCGAGAGCAAAGCTACACTGAGAAAGGACTACACCTGAATGTATTTCTCCTTACACTATAACCCTGACGACAAATGTGTAATTTTAGACAAGAAGGAGGTGGGAATAACCTGTGGGGAAGTTGCCTCCAGACAGGGACATCACAAGGGCTGGGGGAAAGTCTACGGTTAGAAAGGTACGGGTCTGAGAAATGCTCCCAAATGTACTGTTTCAGAGTGCATAAAATGACAGGAACTCTCTACTCCAGAATCCTAGTGGATGGGAGCAGAAGATACGAGATCCCTTGGGCTGCCTTAATCTAAGGAGTAGTATGGTGGTCACCTAACACCTCTGGTAGTCTGATTCAGGGTAAAGAGGAGAACCTTATCCTGTGGATCTGGGGGCGGGGAGGATGAGTCTTCCCTCATCCAGAACACAGAGTATCAGTGGCTCAAAGAGACACAATGATACAGGGGGTATACTTTTTTACGATAATTCTGTATCTAGGAATTGGGGAATTGTCATATCTTCCATGAGTTATTATTCTGAACTACTGCCCATGTTGGGTAGGTATTTGGGCTCTTTGGGGGAAATATAATTTTCCCATCTCTTGGTGAATTGCAACTCTCATCATACCAAGCCAGTGTAGCAATAGTGGGGGATCACAGGGTCAACACAGTCAACCAATATCTGGAGGACTATGAGTTGCTGCATATGAATATAAGCATAAGGCCATGGAAATCTAGTTATGATGTCATCTGCAAGTCTGTGAAGAAGGAAGCTTCTGCTTTCTTCTTACACATCCAAGATGTTTTCCCTTTCTCTTTTTCAACTTTGGGGTTCAGGCAGCAGACAGAAGTATAAAGCAGCACATTTGTAAAAAGCCAGAAGTTAACTTTATTTGTAGAATTAGTCTGAAAAGCAGAAGAGAAGAGCCAAGCAAGGAGCAGTAATGCAAGAGGAAATCTGTTAATCCAATTATGAGGGCTATTAGATGGAATCATTTTAAAACATGTTTAAATTAATGGAGTTTAAACAAATTAATGGGGTTGCATCCACAGATGGAAGGACTCTGCTTACAGAAGGTGCCTCTCTCATGCTAGGGGAAATTCGCCTCCCTCCTCCTCTTCTTCTTCAGCAGAGGCCTCCAACACCCTGTGTAGTACTTGCTTGGATCTGGAAGTGTTCTCATGGGAAGGAGTCACTCACATGGGAAGGGATGGCACAGAATATCATTTTCCACCAGTCCAACTCCATGCACCTACATTTTGATCCAAAACATTCTGGATCAAACCTTGGCTCATCCTTCCAATGTACCCAACACATGTTGCACTGTGGTGAACAAGAAGATTTACCATCTTCTCTTCCGTGCAGCTGCAGACATACTGAGTGGCTTTACTGGTTGGGAACACTACAACCCTGGTCACATGCTGGCAATTACCTGGCTGTGTCATTTAGCTCCTTCAGAACCTTTGCTTGTCATCTATTCCTAAGTACAGAGTTTTTTCTAACTATTTGAGTTCAAGGAGAGTTGTTGCCTTTAGCACCTATCTGTGAACTTGACAGAAGCATCTGGTTTGTGAAAAGAAAGTTGATCTACTGTAGAGGGCATTTTAGGACAAAAACAGACAATGTGCCAATTTCTTAATAAGAAGTAGAGCTTCTTGATGTTTGTTTTCTGAAATTCTGCATGATGCAATTAGGTTGCTTTTGTTTAGTGACTTAGTCTTTAGAAGATAAGCTGATTGGACAACCATGAAAACTCTGAAGCAATGCACTTTGGAGAGGTCATTTTTGTTATAAGTTTTGTGGTAGTCTGTGATACTGACATCCTGTCTGTTTCTGCCCTTAAGACGGCAAAAAAGCAAAGCTTTTCTTATCCACCTATATCCATAATACACACAACCTCTTCTTCACGTTTATTATGGCAGTAGGCAAAAGTCTAGTCTACATCTATCTTCTGCATGTAAGACGTAAGTTGTGGCCTATTAAAGCTAATTTATTTTTTCTTTAAGGAGCCACGGCCATTTCACCCTCCTATCAAAAGCACACAGCCTTTTCAGCTAATGTGAACCTCTGGATATGGAGACTCTTGATATTAGTTATCTATGCAGTAAGCTACTCTAAATGGGTGTGGAGAACTGTTTCTGGCAATAAATGTGAGACAAGTATAAAAAAGCTCTAGGCCTAAGAATAAGAGACAATTAGTAATGCACACTTTAAAGAGATATCCCTCTTTTAAAATAATATATTATTGGCAGCCATGGCTTATAGTCTGAGGAACCAGGGATCACTCGTTAGATTACATGGAGAATCTGTTGAGAGCACTCATGCCTGCAGCAATATCTTCTATGTCCACCAGTGGTGTAAAATTTGTAGCCCTTCAAACATTGCTGTACTGCTGTTCCCATAATCTGTTTGTTAAGCATGAGAATTGCAGTCCAACAACATTCAAAGGACCACAAGTTCTCCATCCTGACTATATTCCATGGTTTAATTGGTTTATTCCATTCAGTTGTACCAGGCCCGTCCCTATAAACTGAATAGAAAAGATTGATCTACTCCCAAGGTTGATCTCTTACCCAACAGCCACGGAGCGCAGGACTCCATTATGCCATCTTTGGCTGATTTTAGGATGGATTCTGGCAGTGGGATTGAGTGACGCACCATTGCACCATAGAGCCCATATTCTGCCATCACACTGCTCCTTCCCCAACACTTCTCCCTCTTGCGCCATTTGGCCCTTCGATTCTGAAACCAAACCTGAAAAAAGTAAATGTTATTAAATAAGGCTAGTGCTGCTTTGCCACAAAACTCATACACCACAGTTAGAAATAATACAGTTTTTAAATGGTGAAAATTTGAAATGGAATTCATTAGGCCCATGCAGCTATATAGGATTTGGGACACAACATATGAAGCTGCTTCCAGAAAGATGGCTCCTGTAGCTAATAATTAGTTGGATTTCCTTTGTAATCTACAAGCAGAGTTGCAGTTGACTTTCCATACCATTGGAGGAATAGAGCACTTTTTTTTTGTTTGTTCATCTCTTTATGTTCTGCCCAAGAGTGTTATAACTACTATAGATGAGGAAAAGAAATGGTGCACTTTATATGAGCAATTTTTGACTGGTGGTAATTTGGCACTAAGCACTTACTCATTTAAACATGACTACCAGCTACCCAGTTATGATCTTACACGGGTATAAAGATGATCAGAAGAGGCTTTTCTCTTAGTCCTACCATCTTGGAGGGGACATGGGAGAGAGCCTTCTCTGTTGCTGCCCCTAGACTCTGGAACTCCCTCCCATGGGAGGCCTGGTTGGCCCCATCTTTGCTGCCCTTCCACAAGCAAAGGCCTTTCTTTTAATTGACTGGTTGACCAAGAGGATTTTTAAAGGGATTATTTTATACTTGAGCTTTTAATATTGCTCTTTATGAATGTTTTAAATATCTGTTTAAAGCTTTTAAAATATTGTAATAATTTATTATTTAGCTTTTAACTTTGTTTCTTTTAATATTGTTAGCCTCCTTGGGTCCTTTAGGCAAAATGTGGCATATAAATATTTTAAATAGATAATAAATAAACTACAATTAAATGTTCTTTTAAAGTTTTATTGCACAAAAACATGTGCATAAGAGTAATCACACAATAGATTTTTGTAGTAAAATATATCTACCATTCTTGTGTGCTTTCCTTTATATGGTCAAACAACATGACAAGATTCTGCTGAAAATATTACTTTGCATCTCAAACATAAATTAGAATTATTAAAATGAGCTGCCTTTCTTTTAAAACATTTTTCGAACAATATTTTGTTACTGTTTTAAATTTTTTTTAAAAAAACAGACATTTGAGTAGTAATTAAAATATAAATTAAAAATGAATGAGGTTAATAATCTGTTCAATGCAATGATTACTGTGAATGTTTTTGAGCTGTGATGGATGATCTGCCCAATATTTCTCACAACTCTAAAAAAAACAGAAGAACACCATTCTGTATCTGTGGAGTTGTACTTTATGACAAGAAAAGTTGGAAGAAGCGCTGAGGAAACTTGTGAAATGAGTGAACAAGACATAGTACCTCCTCTAGTGTAGCAATCTTGAGCATACCTGTGCCACCCAGAGCTCAAAGAGCAACTTTGAGACACCTGAGTTGTCATGGATGGATGGTTTGATTGATAGACAAGCACACAGACAGAAAGGCTTTGTAGCTTGGTTTTATTTAAGCACTGCCATGAGATTAGTTTATAAATGCTATGCAGATAGCTAAACTTCCACTCACTATTTGCTGCACCTACATTGGTAGTTCCACTGGGGAAGAGGGAAGGAATGGAAGGGCAGCCCAAGTGCATTTGATTAAGTGAACAGTTCATGAAAGTTTATGCCAAATAAAATTCATTAGTTTTCGAGGTACCACATAACTATTGTTTCTAGAATCAATTTGGAATCAGATTTTTCACTCACCACACTACAGTAACTGGTTGCAACCCCATACTGACCAAAATCCTGTTACTCAACATACTAAAATGCACTACAGTAGGCTCACTAAATCAAAAGAATTTTGTCAGTCAACAACTGCATAAGTTATATGGATTTAAATGGGCCTACTCTAACTTACCTTGTTGCACTAAAGTCAGTTGCATTTATAGTAGGCCCATTGAAACCAAGGGAACCTATGGAGGAATTGACTCACTAAATCCTCATTGATTCAACATGCCTACTTTAGTACAATTTGCTATGCTGAGCAACAGGATTTTGGCCATTTTCTTCTATAGAAACATGTGCACCTGAAGTAAAGGAAAAGCTGAGCTTAGGGTTATAGTGTTTGTTGGGCACAGCGTCAACAGTCAGGTATGTTGGAGAAGGTAGTCAATTGGTTGAGGATTCAACTGCAAAAATTAAGGTCCCTCAATTAGCTATTTAATTTTTAGTTCCCAGTTGGTTGCCTTTCATTCAGCAAAACATAGTATTATTTTGAGGTGATTTTAACAAACACTGAAAATGATATAAGCATGGTATAAAAAAATTAAAAAGAAATCATTAACTGAGGGAGAGAGTAGTGAAAAGTAGTCCTTAATCAGGGCACCACTTATTCTAGAACCAGTCCCATCTATCCCAAACATCACAACATTCACAGATTGTGTGTAGCCATTGTATCTCCCCATTCCCTTCAGGCTGTGGGTACCTCCTTCTCAAAAGGGGTAGACTAGGAACGGAAGAAATGTGTGTTCCATAGGTTAAATACAAGGCTATACTGTAATTAATTTCCCATTACTGTATTTCTAGGCTATTTGCTTTTGGCTCTCATAATGTGGAATTTCTGTTTCATTATTTAATGGGCGTCACAATGAAAGGTGTGGGGAAACAGCCGGCTGCTTCATTGTGGCGAGTAAGGGAGGGAGGCCTGTCAAGGCGGCGCGTGGCCGATCAGTAGGGAGAGTTTATGGGCGTAGCCTGATTTTCATTGTCCCTTTGGGGAGCCCCGGCACACCCCGATATTGGCAACAGCTAGGGAGCCTCGGGGCTTTGTGACCCGCAGCGGAAAGCCTGTCAGAAATCTATTAGCACGCTCCCGCCGGCCTCCCGTTCCCCATTCCTCTCGTTTTTCTCCCCTCCTTTTCCCGCCTCAGAGCCGAGAGCGAGCGAGCGAGGCCTCAGCTTGGAGATGAAAAATTGCTCGCGGTCTATTCAGGAGGAGGCAAAGGAAGAGTCAGCCCCAGGGGCAGCCCAGGCCTGATTGAAAAATAAGTTAATTTCAGTTTGAATCGATGGGCCTCAGGCACTGAAATATCACGGGAAATTAAAGCGGTGGCTCCCCGGGGATCGGCGCCATTGACCCGCGCTAATTAATGCCGTGGCGGTAGTGGAGTTCCCGTTCGCTTCTCGACGAGGCAGGCGCCCCCCCCTTCGGTGTCACAGCCCCGCACACTCACGCCACCAGCTTTTTCTCATTTAACTAATTAGTCTGGAAAATTGGGTGTTAATTTGTTTAGGAATCTTTTTTTTAAAAAAAACTCCCCCTCCTCTTCTCTTTTTCACCCGCCCTCCCGCCTTTCCCTTTCCAGGGAAAGCAGCCTCGATCCCCGGCGGAATGGAAATGAACGGTGGGGGCTCGCTGGCAGATGGATGCTCAGGGGTCACTCCGCAATCTTCTCCGACTTGATTGCTTGATTAGGTCGTTAGCACATTAAAAAAAATTGCTCGCCGTCTGGCGCTGGCCTGATGAGTGGGACGAGGCGGGAATCGCCTGGGTAATTTATCTTTTTATACCGCAAAGAATTTGATTTCAATCTGCAGATATATGGAGGCGCCTTTGACACCTGTTTAACATTATAGAGCTGACAACTTAACCCTCTGATGACTCCGCTGTGCGGACAGGGGCGAAGAAAAGACAGGATTAGGGGCCTCTGCTTTGTATAATTCATATTTGGGGAGGGAGAATATTGGGAGGGGGGAGAGCAGGGCGGAGAACTGAGCTGGGGGGACCTCCATGAGGTAAAGGGATAATGTCGGTATTGTAACATATAGATGGTAGGAGTGGACTCCTGAGATATGATTTCAAAGAAAGGAAATTGTTTTCACATCGAAATTATAATAGAGTCTTCAGCTTGGAAATGAAAGCCTGCAGTCCTAACCAAACTTGCAGGAAAGTTATCATGGGCTCACAAACGCATTTTAGTCCGTTTGCTTTTCTGTGTTGGTAGTATTGTTTGTTCTCATGATATACATGGCGAGCTGCCATGAATACTTGCATGCATGCATGCATGCATGTATGTGAAAGCAGAACATAAATTTAATTTAATATGCCCTAAAACTACTAAGACATCCCTGTTAAACCTAGGAAGACTAGAGTGGTCACATGAAATAATAGAGGACAGAGCTAGACAACTTTAATGCTTGTGCAGAGGAGGAAATGTCAGCAGGTGTACTTGCATGACTGCTGCAGGGGAACTTTGCAGATAACCTGGACCACTAGTAAATCAAATCAAAT